CCATCAGAAAACAGTGCTACAGGATGTTGTACTTGTAATCTCAGCACTATGGAAGAGCCAGGAGGACCACAAATTGAAGACCAGCAGTCCTATAGACCAGCCTGGGTCATAGTAAGAGCCTTTCTCAGGTGGGAAAAAAGAAAAAGAAAGAAAACCTATGACTGTTTGAAACCACATTCATCTGAGTTCCCATTTGTCTTCCAGTATGGCATTTGTTCTTTTCCTTCTCCATAGCATTCCTTTCACATTCTTTATACATTATTATAACACTCAAAAGTCAAAGGCATTTTTGGTGCCATTTTAGTTTGAAGCTTATGTCTTTACTGTGAAGCTTATATCTTTAAAGTTCCCATTCTTCAATCTCTCTCTCCTCTCTCTATGTCTCTCTCTCTCTCTCTCTCTCTCTCTCTCTCTCTCTCTCTCTCTCACACACACACACACACACACACACACACACACACACACACACACAAGGTCTTAACATGTAGACCTGGCTGGCCTGGAACTTTCTGTATAGACTAGGTAAACCTCAGAGTCATTGATATCTGTGTGCCTCTGCATGCTAGAATTAAAGATGTACACCACCATGCCTAACACTCTCTTCTCTTTGGTGCTAATGACAAGGCACTGTTTTAATCATTTGTGATAGACCTTGACAATGAAGAGAAAACATTGCCTTTGTTGGACACCTAACAGACCAAATAGTCCTTCTTGGGATGTAGTTGTAGAGAGATGCTATGTTGTGTCAGCAATAATGGCTTAACATTCTGGATTGAAAATTGTTGAGAGTTATTCGGATTTATTTTCCATTTTGTATGAATCCCATAGTGGTTTGAATAAGAATTGTCCCCATAAACTCAGGTATTTGAATACTTGGTCATCAGGGAGTGGCACTATTTGAAAAGATTAGAAGGATTAGGAGGTGGGTGTGCCTGAGACAGCCACCCACAGAGGTGTGAAGAGGGTGTCAGATTTCCCTGGATCTGGAATTACAGATGGATATTAGCCACCCATGGGTGTTTTGTGTGGCAAAAAAATTATTATAAAAAACATGGGGGGGGGGCTGATAGCCAGGCCGGTCCGGGGCATGCCTTTACTTTAATCCCAGTACTTGGGAGGCAGAGGCAGGCAGATCTCTGTTAGATCGAGACCAGCCTGGTCTACAAGAGCTAGTTCCAGGACAGCCTCCAAAGCCACAGAGAAACCCTGTCTTGAAAAACCCAGACAAAAATAAAAATAAAATAAAAAAACATCTCTTACATTCTAAGAGACTGGAACTTTTTCTGGACCTGAGTCACTAATACACCTTGAGTGTCACTTAAGACTGTTCTCCTACCATGTACTTAGCCTGCCTTTATGAGAACAATGTAACAAACAACCTCACTGCCTAGGCTAATGCATAGCTGTACCCTTAAGGGATGTTTTCTGCTGGAGTAACACATGTGTATGCGAATGTTAGAGTAATAAGCAATTTGGAAATAGCAAATAGGTTGAAAGCAACCAAAATGAGTATCTACCATAAGTGCTGAAGACAATATTCAGATATTGCTTGATGGCATTTGTTTGTTAGTTATCTGGGTCAGTTGGGGGTGAGTGGCTTAATCCCTCTTAAAACCCTGCTAAAGATTTCTGTTAAGTGTCCTCGATTTCTTCCTGTGCGATGCTTTTTGTGCTGTCCAGTAAATACAGAGCAAAAGCCCTTTGGTGAGGGCACACCCCCCCCCCGACAGTCACACACACTGACAATCACACATACAGATACACAGACACACACACACACACAATCACAAGACAGCCTTTAGGCAGGCACAGATTCAGACTCATACATACAACAGGGAGACAGGGAATAACCAAGACACGGGGAGAAAGGTAGAGAATTCAAATCTAGGCCCTACTCTTAGTTAAATTCCATCAAGAGGAAATGCTTTTTTAAAAAACATTTTATTTATTTATTTTATGTGCACATTTGTCTGTGTGAGGGAGTCAGATCCCCTGGAACTGGAGTTATAGACAGTTCTGAGCTGCTATGTGGGTGCTGGAAATTGAATCCAGGTCCTCTGGAAGAGCAGCCAGTGCTCCTAGCCACTGAACCATTTCTGCAGCCCCAGGGGGAAATGCTTTGTAATTTCTTTCCTTAATGTAGCTCTGACACATTTTGGTTATTCCTATGCTTCCAACAATGTGTCCAACACAGCTGGGAACTGTGCTGGATCCTCCTGAAGAGTTGCAGGTGCTCTTGACAGCTGAACCACCTGTCCAGCTTGGTGCTGAGGGTTGCTTGTTTTTTGTTTTTTAATTTAAGTCTTCAGGGAAAATGATGATATTCTCAAAACTAGACAGAGCTCCAATCCTCTCAAGTTGGGTGAACAAAAGAACAGGTGTCTTAACTATTTTTCTTGTCTTTGTACCAAAACATCCGACAAAAGCAACTTAAAGCCTGGGGGATTTGTTTTAGCTCACAGTTTGGGAGCAGTCCATCTTGATGGGGAAGTCATGGCCATGGGAGCTTGAGGCCGCTGGTCACATAGCATCTGCAGCCCGGAAGTAGAGTATAATGAACACTGTCAATTCTGTGTGCTCAGATCACTTACCTGTTTTATCCAACTCAGTGCCCAGTCAGGGACTAGTGCTGTCCACTATTAAGGTAGATTTTCCTATCTCATTAATCCAATCAAGAGGATCCCTTACAGACATGCCCATTGTCTAACCAAATCTAGATAAACCCGTAGAGGTGTGCCCAGAAGCCTGCCTCCCAAGTTATTCTAGAGCCTGTAAGGTGAGGACATTAACCAGCACAGACAGTAACCACCTCATTCTGTTTGTCTTCCAATGAGAATATTCAGACTGCATATCAAGAACACTGTACAGTATGCAAAGGTGTCCTGTGAAGTGCAGCAAAGAGAATTCTCTTGATAGAAGAATCCCATCCAAGCCAAACTGCTACTCCAGGGTTCTAGAAACTCTGGGATGCTTGCTAAGTTTGTCTGAATTCATGTGTGTTACTGACCAGGATTCAAATAAGCACTTAGCCCTGGAGTATGTCTTGTCTCCTTCAAGCCCTGAAAGCAAATGGAGTGAACACATCTGCTTTCCCCGCAGTGTGGAGTCATCACGAGCCAGGCTTGGCCAGCTTCAGGCTGAGCACATCATCTTCACTCTCTTTCAGGAGATGAGTCATGGTGGGTCACTTTACAGCTGTCCTTTCTAGGGCTTGTTTGGGTACCTGAGAGGTTGAGGTTCCCTCCCCACAGGCAGAGCCTCCATCTTGCTGGCTTGTGAGAGCCCTGTCTGATGGGTAGGGAGAATGGGGGACACTACACATGACATTCACTAGATTCCAGTGGTAACAGCCTCTCCAAAGGACACAAATCGAAGCTTTCTTTCCTCTGAGACCCAGGGCACAGGTGGCAGTAACAAAGGCTGGTACTGTTTGTAGCCAGACTCTCTACTAGGCCCCAACTTTGGAAGCATTAGAATTTTTGAGTTGGAGTGGTGGCACATGTCTTTAATCCCAGCACTCAGGCGGCTAAAGCAGGTAGATCTCTGTGAGTTTGAGGCCAGCCTGGTCTACAAAGCTACACAGAGAAACCCTGTCTCGAAAACATTTTTTTTTTTTAAAGTTGGAATTAAGAGAAAAATGCTGTGGTACCTGGCAAGGTGGAGCCTAGAGATCTGAGGGTCGATAATCTGGAGCTTGCCATTAGGAGGGCCTGAGGACCAGCTTTATGCTGACGGCATTCCTGGACCCTTACTGCTTCCCTTACTGCTTCGTGAATCTTGTGCAACACTGTGGAGCTGCGCAGAGAATCGCAACTTGGGCAGTTTAATTTAGGCCACACAGCCAGCAGGGTGGACGACACAGGCAGACTAACGGTCTGACTCTGCGATGGCGCTTGCACTTGACTGCTGCTTCCATGTCTCTTAGCTCCTGCCTTTCCCCACAGTTTCACACAGAGTGCCTGTCACTCAGAATGAGAAGCACTCGGGGATTATTTAATTCGCTGACACACGCATTTTTGCAACCCCACAGAACATTCTGCCGGGTGCCTGGAGTTACCGGGGAAGCAGCTGCAACTGTTTTCATCCCCAGTTGCTGGCTCAGGGATTGCATTTAGTCATGGAAAGTCCCTTTCCCCAGATAGACTCCAGTTTTCCATTGGCTTTTCTTGCTGCTAAAATAAAACCAGGCCAATCTCCCAGGCATCCTGCATGAACAGGTGCAGCTACCTCCTCGGGGTTTGTCTGAGGGGCGAAGAGCTCTGATTTTACGGGCACAGTCTCGCTCCTCTGACGGTTGCATCTCTCTGTTCCACTACAACCGAGAAGCTCTCTTTACTTCTGAGTGTGCTCAACCTCCACCCTTCACTCTCCCTGTTACCTGCCGGCTGCACTCGGCCCTCAGAGTTAGCCTGACATCTGTTTTTAAGGAGGACGGACTCCACAGAGAGTTAGCTCAGGTGTTGTTTTAGATCCCAGTGATGCCCGGAAGGCTCCTGACATCTCTAGTGGCCCTCCTCTACCCCAGCACTCACATTAGCATCCAGATGAAGCACCGTGACCTCCAACCACAAGATCCGTGCTGTAGAAAGAAGTAGTAACATGTGACATGGAAGGTCTATTTTCTTAAAAAAAAAAAAAAAAAGGATTTACGAGTGCTCTACCTGCATGTACAACTTTACGCCAGAAGAGGGCATCAAATCCCACTATAGATGTTTCTAAGTCACCATGTGGTTGCTGGGAATTGAACTCAGGACCTCTGGAAGAATAGCCAGTGCTCTTAACTGTTCAGCCATCTCTCCAGCCCCTGGAAGTTCTGTTTTTTAAAAGCATATTTGGTCTGGGGCTTTTTAGTCCTGCCGCAAAGAGCAGAGATGACCAGGACATGTGACATTGTAGTACAAGACACAACAGAATCCAAGAACTTGGTGGCACGTTCACCCTCCCTCCTCCCCTTCCACAGGGCACGGACTCTGCCTGCAAACAAGCTTCCAAAACAGAAAGTGTATCTTAATATTTATTCACTCAGGTCACAGGACTGTTTGGGAGGGCTTTGCTGTATACACATTCCTTATTGGGGCATTTAGGACTCAACACCAGGGGAAGACTGCTTTGAAAGAATCAGCAATCAGCCATAAGCTGTCAGATTTGAACTCCCTTTGTTTGTTTTGTTTCCAAACAAGATCTCACTGTGCAGCCTTAGCTGGCCTGGAACTTACTTCATAAACCAGGTTGGCCTTGAACTCACATAGACCCACCTGCCTCTGCCTGTGCTGGGATTATGGACCTAATCCACAATGTCTCACTTGGTTACAATCTTTTTTTAAAAGATGTCTGACAACAATCTAATTGATAGTTTTCATATGACCCACAGAAGTCAACAGGTTTTGAAGAACAGAAAACCAATTGCAAACACAAGACCACTTGGGAAAGAAAGAAAAATGCACAAAATTATTTGTGGAAATTATCTTTGCATTTCTAAAATCAGGAAAAGCTTGCCATTCAAACTTCCAAAGCAATTGTTTGAACAGTATGCAGATATTTGAGAAAAAGAACAATAACTTTTAAAAAGAGGAATGCCTGATCCATTTCCTTAATAAGTGATCAAGAATGCATGGGTGAGGAGAGACTTCAATGTCACAAGCAGAGAGGCAGGTGTGCACACACTCATATGTCTGTTTTCTGATGACATCACACTCCAGGCAACCAGAAAGCCTGGTCAAAGCAGGGCTTCTCACAGGGTTTGCCAGATGGCATGAGAGAAGGGAACTAGAGCACTGAGCTGTATGACAGCTTAGAGAGATGCAATGCAAGGCAACTGGATTAGCTATGAGCTCTGCAGCCCAAGTGAGGGAGAAACAGGTGTCCATCCTGAGGGACATCTACATAAATGACAGGCAAGAGGCTCAGTGGTGGAGGACCCCAGGGTGATGCTGCTGGGAGCACGTATTTCCCTGCAAAGGCTGTGTGTAGGGAACCCACCAAGCACTGTTGCTTTGTTGAATTTGCTCCAGGATCCAGAGTCCTTAAGATGAGGAGGGCTGCCTGCCTGATGCTCAGGCACTTAGCACTGTCTGCCACTTCTTTCGCCCTTTCCCATCCATCTTGGAACTGTTAGAAGTCTATGGGGAAAGGGGGCCCTTCTGAGAAGGTGGCCTCAGAGTGCCGAGTCAGCATCCAGTGATGAGATGAAGACACTAGGACGTAGGTGCTCCCCCGACCTTGGGGTCTGCAATGGTGATAGATCATTTGAGAAGCGTATGTGACAAGGCCCCATCCTGAGCATTTCCAGTAGTGCCAGGAACCCGGAGGATTGTTCAGCATTCCCTCTGAAGAGGTCAGCATTCCCTCTGAAGAGGTGACTTAGCTTGAGTTACCAGACTGTCTGGCCCAGTTGGGTGGGGACTTGGTCCCACGTGTGCACCATATTCTGAGGAGTCACACCCTCCGAGGACCCAGGGGAAGTGAGATGGTGCTTTGGGCTTTTAGAGCAGCGGGTGTCTCCCAGGGGTGACAGTGGCAGTTCTAGGTGGGAGGTACAAGTAACTGGTTTCTCTGGCTGATCTCAGTGAGGCTGGGATGGGGCTGAGGCAGCAAGCTGGCCTGGTGCAACTTGTGCCTAGATTGAGCACAATCTAAGTTGCAAACAGAGGTTCCTAAGCCTCCTGGCTTTGCCTCTGTGTACAGCAGGGCTTCCCTTCTCCCATTCTTCTCGGGGTTTAGCTCACCCCAAGCTCTCATCTTCCCATGTGACTGCACACACTGAGACAAGTGGAGTGTTTGGCAGTGAGCATGCTGCTTCAGTCACCATATTTGCCACAGAACAGCACCAAGGTGGATCGGGCCTTCTCTGCCTGTGATGTCAGAGGCTCAGAAGACAGGGATCTGGTCTCTGCGAACCACATCCAGGTCATCATCCAGAGTCAGCAACACCTGAAGTGAGAGGGTCAGCGATGGGAAGGAACTGTAAGTCCTGGCCACACCAGGTCCCTGCTTCATGCATCAGTTTATTGAAATACTCATGAAAGAGGGCTCCCTTGTGTTATTCTCGATTCTAGAGACACAGCGGGGGATGAATGTAGTACCCACCCTCTGCCCTGGTGCTCACATTCCGGAAAGGATCTTAAACAGGAAGAAAACACATGAGATAGGACACAGTATATTTCACAGACATATGTGTGAGGGTTAAAATTAAACTAGGGCATATGCATCGGGAGCTCAGGTGGAGGATGGTAAAAATAAGGTGGCCTGGGTTGTCATTACTCAGAAGGTGACATGTAAGTCAAGACCTATGGGAAATGAAGTATTGTTGTATAGAAGACTGCTATACAAGAAACGGACCATTCCTACTTCCCTCCCCACGTGAAACCACTAGCCCCACTCACGTCTTCCTATCAGTCACGGAGATTGGTTGAACTTCCCATGCTGGCCACTAGAGGGAAGCCCTGCTCCACTCTTGTGATTGCCTGGTTGGCCTCAGGGTGATGGCCATCTGTGTGACAGCCCACAGTTATCACCCCAACCTGTATCTAGGCACCACAGACATTTAATTAGGAAATTTACAAAAGGACTAAAGGATACCGAGGATGGTCATCTTATGTTAGCATGACCCTGGGAAGGGGCACAAGCAAATCCCAGGAAACCTAGATTAGGAACATCCTGACTGGGTGGCTTCCTGAGCTTCTCTAGGAACCTCCTCTTTATAAAGCACATGGTGGGGCTGGAGGAAGGGAAGGAAGAGTCTATCATGAGAAGGAGTAATCCCATAGATGAGAATTTCTGTGAATGCCCTAAGTGGTTCCTGGGGGGAATTCTGAGCATTTTAGTCCAATAGCCAATCCTGTCCCAGGATTACCGTGCATCTTAGGAAAAATGGTTTTGTCACTCCTCTGTGTGTACAAACATTGAAAAGTAGAGGAAAATGAAAGTTATGATCTCACAGGAATTATAGTAAGAAAAGAAAGAAAGGAAGGAAGAAGGAAAGAAAGAAAACAGAGGGAAATGGTCAGTGCATTGGATTACATGAAGAAATGCCGTGAGTAACTAGCGGGGAATATAGAGAGGTGGAGGACGAGCAACAGGGAAATATGCAAGACTGTAGAAGGGAGAAAAGCAGCTAGAAGATATGACCGACTCACCAGGAACGAGAAGAACAGGGCAGTGGCAGAGAGGAAGTGCCAGATGTCGTGGTCATCAAAGAAGTCCAGCAGGATACACTCTCGGTTCTTCTCCCGGGATTCTGCGGGGGTTCCCTGGAGGACGGGAGGCAGATGTAGACAAGAGTCCCCGGTTCAACAATTTCAGGGTTTGATTTTGAGGAAGCACTCAGAAAGTCAGCTTCTGAGGGTTGTGTACAATTGCTCTCAGCAATACTGTTTGTACTAGTCCCAGGACGGAGTCCACCAACCGATGAATGGACTGATAACATGTGTTGTTGCCCCAAAAGTGCTCAGTAATTAGAAGACACACTGATGTAGCCATAGCATGGATGACCTAAAAACTGTTATGCTGCACACTGCATGGATAAAGACAGACTCAGCGGTCCCACGGCCTGTGGTTCTACTTCTAGGACAGTAGTCCTCAACCTATGCCTGGTGACCCCACAGGGATCACATATCAGACATCCTGCATATCAGATATTTATATTGCGATTCACAACAGTAGCAAAATTACAGCTATGAGGAAGCAACAAGATAGTTTTTTTGGTTGGGGTCACCACAACATGAGGACTGTATTAAAGGGTCATAGCTTTGGGGTGGGTCTCAACCCAGGAAATGCCCAGACTGGTAACTCCACAGCCACAGAAGGTAGGTTAATGGCTGCCAATTATTACCAGGTCAACGAGAAGCAAACTGGCTGCTCATGGGTTTTCTTTCTGGCATCACACAAATGTTCTGAGATCAAATGTGCTGATGCTGTGGTAGAGAGCTGAGACTTCCTGCTTGCGCTTCAGACACAGAACTGGTTTCTGAGGCCTCAGCTTTCCTGTCTACAGGATGGACACAGAGCCCCACACCTGCATTTACTGACGGATGATGACTGTGATGAGAAAGATGGCGGCAATATACTAATTGAGCATTAAACATCTCTGGGAACAGATCATAAGAGAACTAGTGAAGATCACGTTTGCTTTATCTACAGGGCTTGCAATTTCCTGTAGTATTACCCTGGCAATGGTGGCCACATGTCTCTTGCCTATCATTTACATGTGGCAATGGTGCCTTCTTTCTTCTGGAGAAAGCTGTGAATTTAAATAATGAATGCAGGAGAGGGAGGAAGGTCCAAAAGGTATGATGGAGCAGACTGCTCAGATAAAAGGACGGGCCTCTTACCTCCCAGCTGCTGAGGTTCTGAAAGAAAAAGTACAGGGCTGCAGCCCACACCACCGCCGTGGCCACGATGCAGAAGAGGGGTAGCAGGAGGACCTTCTCAGAGCTGCGAAGCTGTGGAGAGATGCAAAGCCACTGAGGCTGGAGCCCCAGCCGTCGGCAGGCCCCGGGGCTGCCAGCTCCTCACTTGTGCTCACCTTCATGATGATGTAGAAAGCCAGGTACAGCAGCAGGTTGCAGATGAAGATGCCCAGCATATAGGATGCAAAGTCCCTGGGCCGGTAGATCAATCCAAAGAAGGCACTGTGGACGTGGGGTGGGGCGAGGGAGGCAGGAAAAGGGTGTGACGTGAGTGGGCCATTAACCACTTCAGGAGTGCACTGGTTAAAAGCCCCACTTTAAGATAAAGACACGGATACAGTCTGAGAAATGCACAGCAGACAGGTTTGACATTGTATGAACATCGTAGAATGTCCTTACACAACCCAAGATGGCCACCATGTCACTTGGCCATGCCATCTTTCAGGACCACCGTGTACAGGTGGTCCTCTGCTAACTGAAATATCTTTGCATGGTGAGTGACTACACAACTTAATGAGTGATATAAATAACTTAATTTACTACATCTTTGCCAGAATATTCATTTTTAGGGACTTCACAATGGTCTTGTGCATGAATGTACTGTGAACAGTTATCTTTCCTTTCTGGGTGCAATGGTTTTCCCAGAATCCTTCAGTTTTTCATGATTATAAACAGCACTGTCATGAACAGGCGGATGCTTCGGATATACTGCATTTGTTTCCATTTAAGATTATTAGTTCATCAGAGTAGATGGCTGCAAGTAGGATGACCAAGTTAATAATGCCAGCTGTCCGTATTTAATTTAGCACTGAAATTTACTTTGACTGAGGGTTAACTTTAAGTTTGTTTAAAATTTACAGTCAGTATAAGAAAATATTGGTCACTTTTTCCCCCTGAGGCAGAGTTGCTGTTGGTGTATCCGTGGATGTCTAGAACTTGTTTCTGCCTCCCAAGTGGAATTAAAGGCACATGTTACATATACCCAGCTGTAACTCTTCTTCATCTCCTTATTTGAAGTTTTTTTTTTTTTAAATATACTTTAAAATTCTACAGTGTGGTGAGTGGTGTATACCTCTAATCTTAGCACTTCGGAAGCCAAGGCAGGAGGATTGCCATGAGCTTGAGGCTACACACACACACAGAGCAGATGATATGACTAGGTTCTTTTCAAAAGAATATATACACATGGCCGATAAATACACAGTAGAGTCATCGAGATCATTAGCTACCAGGGAAATGGAAATCAAACCTAAATGAAAAATAGTGATGACTAGAATTGGGGAGTGGAGAGGTGGATAAAAGGAAGGTGGAGTTGATCGGTGTATTCTGAACACATGTTTTGAGATGTCACACTGTGTGTGTGTGTGTGTGTGTGTGTGTGTGTGTGTGATCACATGTTAATAAAAATTTAAATGTAATGAAATCTGTACTGACATGGTGTTTCCTCAGGATTTTTCTTGTCTCCATTCTGTCTGCTTTCACTGTACCAGGGGACTGAACCATTTGTATTTTATTCTGAGAAAGGATCATGATTAGATACCCAGGCTGGTCTTGAACTTGGGATCCTCCTGCCTTCTATCCCAAGTAGCTGAGTTATAGTGAATACCAACACATCTGCTTCTATCCTCTTCATTATAACTCAGTGCTTTATATTTCTAATTTTGGATCTATGCTTGCCTCACTCTGTTATTTTTTTTAACATTAGATTGCCTTATTAGGCTAGCCTATGCCAACCCATGTTGCAGTTACACATGGTTATCTAAATTTAAATTAAAAATAAATAAAAATCGAAAGCCAGTTCCTCAGACACACTGGCTGTATTTCAGCATCACAAGGTCCACATGTTAATAGTTTCTATTAGGGCCATGTAGCACTGAGCATGTATATCATTCCAGAAAGTTATATCGGATAATGTTGGAATAGTTATTATATTCTCAGCTCCTCCTTCCTCATGTTAACCTTGCTTTTTGGAGACTGTTGATACTTTTGCCTAAGCACATGCATTTTGTAATAAAAGCCTATTGATTTTCAATTCACACATTAACTGGAGAACAGCTATCTGTCTTCCACCCCAGACCCTGACATCTCTCTCCACTTAAATTTTCTTTAATGTATCCTAATAAGGCAATTAAATTTCCAGAAGAAAGATTCCACACATCTCTCAAATTTTATTCCTAAGTATTTCAAGTGCAAGACTGTTATTCATGGCCTTGAATTTTATAGTCCAGCTGACTGTACTAGATTATGCATGAGCTGCAGTCATTCCAGATTCTGAAACCTTCAGTTCACTAAAAACTCTCCGGTGGCTTTTCCTCAGATTCACCAATTAGCAATTGATGTGTGTGCTGCTTTGCTTTTGCTGTCTGGGAGCTCTCTCTCTCTCTCTCTCTCTCTCATACACACACACACACACACACACACACACACACACACACACACCAAACGTCTTCTTCCTCAGGGCCATATGGGAATTATTCCTTTAGGGGGAAGACATAAATAAATGATTATCAGTAAATAGATGCTGACATTTACAAACATGGGATCTGTAAATACCGAAGACTGGCCATAGATTGCTTCCACTTGAACACATGTTTGCAAATATGTTGTGATTAAGAGAAATAACATTCTAATGAGTAGACAAGAATGGACCTGGGCTGGAGTGCAGCTCTGTGGAGGAGCACTTGGGTACCATGCAGGACACCCTGAGTTCTATTCACAACACTAAACAGAGGAATAGAGGTGAGCTACAGACACTGTAGCTCACAGCTATAATCCCAGCAGTCAGGTGGGGGCAAGAGGCTAGCCTGGGCTCCAGGAGACCCTTCCGAGAGCTATTCTTTTAAAATAAAATTCATATTCAATCACTCTGTGTCTGTACTGAACAACAGAGAAAGAGACAGCCCCTCTGCCAGGGAAACATGGAATTATGGGGCATCGAACCTCAGACCTTATTAGACTCGACATCCTACAGAGCTGAGTGAGGAAAGAGGCCAAGTGTCTTGTGAGTGTGTCCTTATGTGTATCAGGGATGGGGAGTCAAAAGCCACAGAGCCAGAGAAACTTATTAGCTGAGAGGTGTAAATAAAAACATCTGAAGTTACTTATTTTTGAGATATCAATGAAGCATCTCATGTGTTCAAAGTGTGAATAGGTTGCATAAGATCATTTCAACTAGCAGAGAATGTGCAGCTCTGTTTTATGCTCATCTGGTGAAATAAGGACAGGACGATGAAAAGGGACAACTTGCAGGAGAATGATTAGGCTGGAACAGAAAGAGAGAGAAATGGCAAAGTCTCTCTCTCTCTCTCCCTCTCTCCCACCCCCCCTCTCTCTCACACACACCACAAACTAAGGAAGAAGTATTTTATAAGAACTAATGTCTCCTAAATAGTCATTATGCAAAGTTCTACAAGATAATTACACTACATTTTTTTGTGCTCATGGGCAAAATCCCTCTTTTCCTTCCCTTTTTCTTTCCTTCCTTTCCTTATTCCTTTCTTTCTCTCAATCATCTATCCATCCATCTACCCATCCATCCAATCAATGTGTCTACATAGATATTTGTCTTGTTGGGCAAATTCTATCAACATATCAATGTTTAGAAGAAGTCCCCACCTTATACAAGAGCTTCCTAGTGATTTACTTAATTAAAATATTTTATTTATTTATTATTTGTATATATGAACATATTATAGTGTGTGTGTGTGTGTGTGTGTGTGTGTGTGTGTGTGTGTGTGTGTGTGTGTGTAGGTCAGAGGACAACTAGTGGAGTTGACTCTGACTCTCGAATTCCACCATAGGGGTCCTGGGGATTGAACTCAGTTTGTCAGGTTTGATGGCATGTGCCTTTACCAACTGATCCATCTCTCCAGACTCCTAGTGTTTTTGATGTTGTTTTGTTTTTTTGCAGGTGGAAGGACCACCTAATACTTTTTTTTTATCAAGTCTCCAGGACAAGCAGTTTTATAGTCTCCTTAGTTTAAGATTTCCTTGTAAAAGAACTCTACACTGACTATTACAGATATTAATAATGATAAGAACATTATTACCAATAATTCTACTTACAAGGACCAGTTAACCAGATTCCCCACAATGAGTAACACCATCCTGTCCTGGAAAAGAGAGAAGGGAGTGTTAGAGTAGGGGCCCCCTTTGCTAGCAACTCACTGGGGTGAAAGCATCACCTGTGGGGAAACAATGTCCTTGTGGAAAAGAAATGACCTTGTGTGAAGACAATTTCTGGGGTTGACACTAACTCTCAGTAAGGCTGAACAGGAAGAGCTGACCACAAATGGATGTAGCACAGCTCTGGGTAAGAAAGCCTGGTCAGCAAAGCAGGGTGTAGATGTCCCCACGGGGTTAGTGGAGCTGGACCCACCTCTGGGCAGGAGGCTGGTGACATGTACTTATCACTTAGTAGTGAGGACTCTGCTGTTATGTTGCTGTGGCCTGGACTGCACAGTCAGAACTAAATGTCAGAGTTAATTTTCACTCCACACACAATCTTAACTCTGAGGTTTAAAGAATGGGGGCTGGGAGATGCAGAGGTTGCCAGTGGCCAAAGGAAGGAGAGAGGAACAGGAAGAACACAAAGGAGTGTTAGGCATGCCAGATGCTATGCACACTTTGTAACCTGCCATTACATAGTTGCCAAAACCCACACAAGGGACAAGGCAGGAGTCAGTGGTGTGTGGCCTACAGACTGGTGGTGGTGCTGATGCTGCTTCATGAAATGACCTGATGAGAATGCTCACAGTAGAGACAGCTATGTGTGCAGGAGCCCTGAGCTTGTGCAGAATCTTGAACCTTCTGCTCAGTGTTACTGGAAGCTAAAACTGTTCTACACTTTAGACAGTAATTGCCCCACCTAGCTTTCAGCATAGGCACACACAATTCTCCAAATATTTGTAGGCTCTAATGGACTTTATAGTTCTCCCCTAGAGAAAACTCCTGCTTCAAGTCTCTCCATTTTTCCTGCCCAAGCTTGTAAGGCTAAAAGGTCTCCGTATTTCTTGATATAGAAACCCTTCTGATTATAAGATTATTAACTGTGTTCTTACTGAATTCTTGGGTTCCGGGGCAGAAGACAGCATCAGATCTGAGCACAGAACCATGTAAAGGCCAAGGCTGAGAGCTCAGAGGATGTAAGTGGACTTCCCATTGGTCACTTCCCAAGGTTAATGGCCAGGAAACTAAGGCAGGGCTTCCGCCTCAGTTTCTTAGGCTTAGTATAGAAATAGATAATATGAGAGCTATAGGGGAGAATTTTAAAGGAATCTTCAAACCATCGAGAAATAACCCAGTTTAACAATGTTCCTGCTGTAAAAACATATGGAGGTAAAAATGTGGAAGATGAAAGTTCTCAATTGTGCTGGGCAGTTTTTTGTCAACCTGATACCAGTTTGGTTCATCTGGGAAGAGGGAACCTCAGATGAGAAAATGCCTCCATAAATACACGTATGTGGGACATTTTCTTGATTAATGATTGATGTGGAAGGACCCAGCCCACTGTGGGTGGTGTCATCCCTAGGCAGATGGTCCCATGTTGTATAAGAAAGCAGGCCGAGCAAGCAATGGGGAGCAAGCCAGTAAGCAGCCTTGCTCCATGGTCTCTGTTTCAGTTCCTACCTTGACTTCATTCAGTGACTGACAGTGATCAGGAGTGTAAGCCAAATTAACCCTTTCCTCCACAAGTTGCCTTTGGTCTAAGTGCTCTATCACAGTGACAATGCACGAGTGGAAGTGACCAGAAGGAACCATCTGCTCAGAGCCATGCCAGTTCACACCTTTTATCCTGGTAAAACTATTTATTAATAGCGTGAAATTTCATTTTCATGAGGACACCTCTTTGGATTATCTATAAAGGCATTCTGCCTTGATTCTCCCCGTAGTAATTAAAATAAAACATTTGGTGTAGCCAGGTGTTGGTGGCACACACCTTTAATCACAGCACTCGGGAGCTAGAGGCAGGCAGATCTCTGTGAGTTTGAGACCAGCATGGTCTACAAGAGCTAGTTCCAGGACAGCCTCCAAAGCCACAGAGAAACCCTGTCTCGAACCCCCCAATAATAATAAAAAAATAAATATAAATAAATAAATAAAAGTTTGGTGTATTCCACGGATAGGGTAAATTCCACATGGTCCCACCCCTAGCTGAAGAGCTAGGTGTTCAGTGACTACTGGGAGAAGGAGAATCGGCTTCCTCCAAGGAGGAGCTCCCTTACAGGTTTTCCAATCCCAAGTGATCAGCCCTGCATACATGTACACACAGCAACACTACATAGACTCAGTAGGTCGCATATGCATGTGTACGTATATAGCTATACATATGTATGTAACAGTAATAATTGAAGAGGTCATAAGTTTTGGAGGTGAGAGGAAGAGTCAGTAATATTGTAGATGAACTGCTCACGTGTAAAGTTCTCAAAAAGGAAACTAAAACACACACACACACACACACACACACACACACACACACACACACACTCATATACATACATATATATATATATATATAATTTTAAAAGTTTGTGTGTGTGTTTATATTTCCTTTATCTTCTTTAAAAACTAGCAAATATTTTATCTATAAAAGCAGGACCATTGTAGCTTCCCTTTTTAAAAGAATAAGCAACATAATTCTTTCCCCACTGACTGGACCGCAGCCACCTCAGGCCATCTGGTTCTTTGGATTTCTGGAGGTTTGAGTCACTGGCCTGGCCTATGACTGCTGGCCCTCTCACTGCTCCTCACTTTCTGGGAGGTGGCCAAGGAACACAGGAACATGTACCTACCATATAAAGAGGTCTGCTGCACTGCTGGATACAGTCTGTGTAGAACACCATAGCAGCCCTTCGGAAGATGCCCAGATCTGTGTCAACACAATCACACGATAAGAGCACACAGAGAAAATCCATATACTGGGAAATGACCTGAAGGTCATGCCTTAAATGATTGGGGGAAGAATGATGTCATCTGTACTCTATTAAAAGGCATTAGAATGCTTTGCACCTGAACGCTGAGAAATAAGTATATGATCTAGAACAGTGGTTTTCAACCCGTGGGTTGCAACCACTTTGGGGGTCAAATGACTCTCTTAAAGGGGTTGTCTAAGACCATCAGAAACCATGGATTATATTAAGATTTGTAACAGAAGCAAAATTACAGACATAAAGTAGCAACGAAAATAATTTTATGGTTGGGGGTCACCACAACATGAGGAACTATATTAAAGGGTTGCAGCATTGGGGAGGTTGAGAACCACTGTTCTAGAAAATGATGTTGTCTTGGAGGGTGTGCCATGTGTGTACATCCTATGGCAGAAAGGCTGCCAAGGGACATGAGTGATAGGCAGCTTCCACCCTTCTGCTTCTTTCTGCTAAGCTCCCATTATTTAAAGGTCACTCTGGTGAGGTTTCTTATCAGCAGAGATGTAATGGGACCCTCAAATCTACCTTAAAACATTTGCTTTCTATAGGGGGTGGTGGGGATCAAGAAATCCTGAGCTGTACTAAGAATGTTTACAAAGAGCAGCAGTATGAAAGCAACAGTCAAAATTATTAAGGAATGTAAGTTAAGACAGGTCGAGAAAGACAGAACAGAAAGGTTTTTTTTTTTGTTTTTTTTTTTTTTAAATACAGTCGTGCATAAAGCACATTTGGAATGGACTGGCCTCAGTGTGAGAGTTCCAGCTGCCACATTCAGAGTCAAGGTCAAAGGAAGGCTCTCTTCCTGTGAACCATTCATGTCTTGACATCAAATGCATGCTTGAGTGTATCCAGAGCCAGCACTGCTGAGAGTGGACCCCAGCTTTGTTGGGTGTCTCTTCCCCACTGCCCCCCCCAAGCCTAGGCTGGGGGTGAACTTAACAAGGAGGAAGTAGCCTGGCCACATGATAGCACAGAAGGGATGCACTCCAGCATGGTTTGCTATGCTGATTGGCTTCTGGGACTTTCTCTGGCTCCCCCTCACACACATGGCCTAACCTGGAAGGGGAATGCAGGGGGCAGAGCTGGCAGACAGCCAGGTGGGTCTAAAAACAGTTCAGATCTCCACAAAGGGCAGCAGGGCATTACCTGTGTCAGACACATCTGAATCAGTGGGAAGCAGAGAAGAAATAAGAGAGAGAAACAATCTGTAAGAAGGAAGCCAAACAGGTCAACTACCTCTCTATTTATTTATTCATTTATTTATTTACGAGATAGCTTTACTTGGTATTTGTAAAAGTAATGTTTGCTCCCACATGAAGGACATGGACTCTGCCTGTCTCAGACACTCAGAAAGCTCCTCCCTGGAGAATATGCAGAGGACTCTTTCTCTCCCTTCCTCCTTCTATCCAGCACTTGCTGTGGGAACTCATTTTCTCTTAGGAACAATCCACAGGTCTGAGACAAAGGACACACAGTGATCTGGGCAAGTGGCTTTGAGGTTTCTGTTCACCTACAATGTGATCTGTGTTGCCATTGCTGCCTTTACTGTGTGCAGAGAAGGGGATGTGTTGTCAGAAAGCAGAGATGCTGAGGAAATGGATGGAGAGATTAGAGATGGCCAAACCACTGTCTATGAATGCAACCTCTTGCCTGTGGACTGACTTTAAAACCAATCATTGGTACAAGCAAACAGCTGTTAGGTCACAGAGCATCTAGTCCTTCCCCACTACCCTCCAGTCAGGTCACGAGTCACCTCTCCCTACAACCCATCAGGACAGAGTGGACAAGCAAGCCTGCTGTGGCCTTGCAGTCTCCATCCCCTTGCAATTGCAAGCCCAGCCTCACCTGTGACACCTAAGTCCTACTTACACCTTTACTTTTATTAGTGCTTTTCCTGGCTTGTAACTTAGGACACATAGGCTAGGTTCCATGGTATGCTCTCCTACTCCCTCTCCCCTAAATCTGTAAGAGCAAGAAATTCCCTTTGTTCTCTGGAACTGAAGGCCGTCACCCTTCAAGCCCCTGTCTTGGCCTCTCTTCGAATGAAATTCTTGGCAACTGAAGGATCTGTCTGTCCTGACCCTTCATGGCCCCATCATGCTGCCTGTGGTCATGGTGCTGGAGCTATCCTGTTAAAGCTGGTAGAAGAACAACCCTCCTCAGCTGTTTTTAGACAAACCTGCCATCCTTTATTTCTAACAGCAGGCTTTGACTCTCCTAAATCTAAAACCACCTCAGGATGGGTCCCTGGGTACAGAACTTAAAACTAAACTCTGCCTTCCAGTTGCCCTTCCCACTTGTCCTGCACCTACACCTTTCCTGGGTGAGGTTGTATCGGATTGAACTTGTCTATCAACCAAAGTTCCTTTCCGGGGGACTTCCTCCCCATGGCATTTTAGTGACCACTTCATCTCTGTCCTCCTAGGATTAAGGACAGTGGGGCTGCATTGCTATTGATCTCAGGTTGCTAGGAGACCCCTTAACATACTCTCACCATGTGTGTCTTGTGACTCATCGCTTTGTGACCAAATCTTCATTGATCTTTCCTATTGTGATCCTCATAAAATTACTGCATAGTCCTCATATAAACTCTTCCTTGTGTATAAGGTGTTTATGGTATGAGTCAGTGTTATATTACTGTTTGCACGTCACCGTCATTGCTATTACAAGACTGTGACAGGGATCGTTACCACTACCTGGTTCTGTGTTCATAAATCAGGGAGAAAGTAGAACAAGGCTCTGAGTTAGTTTCCTTTTGACAATTTGTATGACTTCCCAGATTTTGGTCTGGAATATGGGAACATCTTATCAAATGTCCTTTGGAGGTACACTATCTAAAGAGGGATAGATCTATTATGTCCAAGAGGAAAGCTAAGTCATGAAGATGTATTTGTGTGTGTGTGTGTGTGTGTGTGTGTGTGTGTGTGTGTGTGAGTGTGTGTGTTTACTTAAAATAGGCCCTCACTATTTAGCCAAGCTGGCCTTGAACTCACCATTCTTCTCCTTTGACCTTTCAAGTACTGACTGAGTCAGCAGGTATATACTACCAGACCCAGGTTGAATATATGTTGTATTTGATCTTCTAGCCTTTGAGATACTTGTTTTCACTGAATTGCTTTGGGGAGAGAGGACCCTCATTTTACCGGTCCTTCATTGCACTTCAGCCGAGGAATCTATACAGTAAAGGGGACTTCCACTTCTAGATCATTTTATGGGTTACTGGACCTCCAAATACCCTTCCCAAATATTGTTGGACCGGGCCTGCACTCAGAGTCTGTAGCATCTCCTCCCCATCTATCTTCTTCCTGAGGTCAGAGACTACCATTCGTGCATATTTCCAGGGACAAAGAATGACCAAGCCATTTCTACTTGCATGGCATGTGAGTGGGCACTGGATGTTGGATGGCCTTGGATCTAGCTGAGATCTCTTGAAACACAGAACAGAGCCAGAGGTAGGAAGAGCAGATACGTTCTACAGTGTTTTTTGGGGGGGATCAAGGATTCTAAATTTCAACCTGAACCTTCTAGACTGAAATGAAGATCTGCTTACTGTTCTTTTATCTTCTTCCCTCTGTTCCTCCCTCCCTCCCTCCCTCCTCCCTGTCTTTTGTTCTTTCTTTTGCTAGGGATCAAACCCAGGCTCTTATACATTCTAAGGACATGCTTTACCACTGAGTTCTGTTCACACCCTCCCCCTCCCTCTCTCCCTCCCTTCCTCCCTCCATCCTTCCCTTCTTTATTTTTATTTTTAGTATCCTTTAGTCTGCTTTATAACTTGAACTTTTCACATATTTTGTTTGTGACTTTTTATTTGCCTTCTTTCCCTGGGCTCTGGCAATATTAGGGGCAGGTCTATGTTTACATGTAATGACTTATGTTGAAATATACAAACGAGATTTTATGTGGGGCTTCCTATATGTTAAAATCATTTAAAAATATTCCAAAATGTCTTGAATCCCCTCCAGTGTGTGATGACTGACTGTCAGGAGATGACGAGCTAATTTTCACTCATCCACACTGTCGGCAGTAGTTCAGTAGGAAAGCTGGTCTTAAACGTTTCAGTCCTCGTATCTGGAATCATAATTCATTCTTGACAACCATTTAGCATTAGAGAACGCTGCAGGTGGAAAAAGGTTCCTCTATGTAGGGTATACTGAGCACACTGCTCTCTTAATGGCCCTCCTTTTGTATTTCTGAGACAGTGTCTATCTATGTAGTCCTGGCTTAACACCCTTTGAAATTTGGATGGTTTGAAAGTGTTTGCAACCAGCTGGTGGAGGCATGCCTCAGCGATGTGGCATGAGAAGCTACATCTCCAAGCTGAAAACAGAAATAGTGGCTATAGCTTATTGAGATCCCATCAGGAGGAAAACGTTCTTAGAGAAACCAAACTTAGCAGGGAGCTCATGGTCATTAGTAGCACTGTCATGGAGGATGAGTGGTGATGTGCTTGCTTCCCCGGGGCAGTCAGCACCTGGCTTTACTCACCTATCTTGACGCGGCCCATGTAGTAGATCTGGGTGCTGAGGGCCAGAGAAGCAAGAATATGGATTGCAGAGAAGATGACCCAGAACCACACATCATTTTTCCCAAACACCTAGGGATAAAGATGGGGGTTAGTGTGATCTGGGGTCTCCCTAGCGAACTCTGTCCAATCACTATCTCTTAGAGTAGCAAACAAAACCGAACAAGAACTAGCCATTACATGTTGTCTAACCACCTTCTGAATATTTATACTTATACCCACAGATGAGCACTGTTCTAAAGTAGGACATCCTATCGAACAGCCATAAGCCTTATGGAACAACATGAAAATGGGGGAGTGGTAAGAATACAAGAGCTGGAGGACGGATGTCTCCTGGTCATGTCAGGGCAGTTGTAGTCATGAACTCACTGAAGCTGTGGCTGCCTGCACAGGACCTGCACAAGATCAAGCGAATCAACATTCCAGTGAGGATGGGCAGGGGCTCAAGAGGCCCCACCCCTAGCTGAGGAGTGATTGGCAGTTGCTAGCTGCTGGGGGAGGGATAGTCATTTGGGGGTGTGTGGCTGTTGGTAGAGTGTTCGTGTGCAGGTGCATGGCCTTACACCCATTCTCATGCATACAGCACTAATTAGGCTCAATTGGTTATAAAAACATAAAAATGAAGAAGACATGAAGCCTTGGAGGGGAATGTGTCGGGGGTTTGGGATGGCTTGAGAGGGTGGGAAGAGGGAATTAGGGGTGGATGCATCAGATATGTTAAATACAGGTATGAAATTGTCAAAGAATAAATAAAAATGTGTTTAAAAGCCACCTAGTCCTGTGTGCATGTTGTTTTCTTACCTCAAAACTCGCAGGGATCTTTCTGTACAGTGGACAGAAAAAAATACTGGCTGTCTAGTCAAATGAAATCAGAGGGAGGAAGAGATGGAATGGTAATAAATGGAGGAGCAGTTGCTCCAGAGCTGGGGAGAATGCACTTCAAATAGCTGAAGGCAGCCAGCAACTGCTGACCATGCACATTTAGAAGTGGTTTCTCCAATCAATTTTGACATGACTCAGGCTTCATTCTAACATAAAAACCACCCTCAGCTAGTTTTACAGGCAATTATTACATGCTTAGAAACCATTGTCAGTAACCCAGCCAGAGCACCATGAACAGACCCAAATCCATGCACCCGAAGCCCAACAAAGAGACACAAACAACAGAAATCGCCCCCCCCCCACCCCCGCCCTCAAAGAGAACACTTCTCCAGAGCCAGACTGAAGGCAGATGGAGAGGAACCCACCACTCCGAGGACCGTAAGTGTGATGACTACAGCGAAGGAAGCGTAGGCGGAGTAGGCGCTGGCATTGATGTCTGGGTGGCGGGTCTGATAGAGCTTTAGCATGCAGAGGCCCGCAATCATGTACATGAAGGAAGTGTCTGAGGATCCAAGTCAAGAAGTTCAGTGGGAGACCGGCAACAACACTCCAGGCTTTTCCTCAGCTTCTGACTGCCCCCTGGCTTCAGTTAGTGGAACATTTGCTGGCGTGGAGGGGTCTCTGACCTAACAGTTCCTCTAGGCACATGCTCTAGGAAGATCCTGTGTCCTCTGTAGCTATACCTTCCCCACCCACCCGTGTATTGTGGTTCACAGAAGGAAAACATCTGATGGGTATGTGCATTCTAAACCTTGTATTGCATAATGGTGATAAAAACCCCAACAAACTAAAAAACTTTAATGGTGATTGTTTAGGCAGAGTGACAATCAGACAGGTGTCAGGTGGAAGCTGTTCTCAGCACTCCAAAACATAGCCACATTCTGTATCTATATGCAAAGCATAATAGCCTACTGATGGAAAGAGCTACTCATGAAATGAGACCCAGCTGCGGTACAGTTAAAGAGACAGGAAGCAAAACGCTAATGAGATGCCCATGCTACTCAAAACTTCCGTAAAATATTTAAATACCCGACCGTGGCCAATGCTAATGCTGATATGGGAAATAAAAGCTTGCACACAGCCAGCTCAGGTGGGAATTAACACTCTGGGGAGAAATTTGTTAAACAGGAAACAGAAGGTGCACAAGGCAGGCAATTAAGAAGTCCTGCTGATCATGCTATGTGGTGGTGGTGGCATAGTTTTAATCCTAGCATTCAGGAGGCAAAGACTGGCAGATCTCTGTGAGTTCCAGGCCAGCCTGGTCTCCAAAGCAAATTCCAGAACAACCATGGCTACATAGTGAGACCTCGTATCAAAAACAAACCCATACATTAACTACTTAAAAATCATTATATTTGAGTGTGGGTGGCAGTGGACAGCCCTTACTTTCCTCATTTCTATCCTCTTCTTGTTGTGGTGTCCCTTTTAGATGGGTCTCAATGTATGTAGTCTAGAGATTCTCTTACCTCAGCTTCCCAGAAGTGCTAAGTTTCTAGGCAGACACCACCACTCTCCTTCTTCATTCTTAACATTTTAATATTAACTTGGCATCTGCCATCTTCTCATTTCAGAACTGCACATCCTTCCAGCCTCAGAAAAGCTAACCCTACTCTTGGAAGAGATGGGTCTGATTGGTCCAAAGTTAATCCAGTTTCCTTTGCTGGTGAATGTAGCCGTCTAGACGTCTAGGGAATGATTCGGGAATGTACTTATGACCTTTTGAGCTACTGAGGTATAAGAGAACATTATCCCTAGGGTTTCTTATGAAGATGTTTCCTTGGTCTAAGTAAAGGTTCCTACAGGCCACCTTGAACCCGCTCTGAACCTGGAAAAGGAGACTTAAAATCAGGATCTGCTATGAATACATTTTGCCATTACGAGAGAAGTTACCCTTGGGAGGAAACCAACACACAGGCTAGGGACATACAAAGGGTCACACAGGGAAGATAGGGGCAGAGCCCTCAGGTAAGCCAGCCATAAAGGCCTTCCTCTCTCTGCCTTCCAGACAGTGAGCAGTCGGCATGATGGCCTTATCATTTAGTTAACTCTATGTGGGGCTTTTCTATTACTTTCACCCCAGAGCAGTCTAATACTCAACTAGGTAAGTTGCATGGAGGGAAACCTGAAGGGCAGTGACAGCTTGGTCCCTGACACTGTGTCTCCTGATGGCATCAGCATTCAGTGTAGTGTTTTCTAGACTAAGTGGTGGTCAGAGGGAACAACAACAATGAAAAAAGGTATAACATACAGAAATCTTGCTTAGTGGCAAGGTACACTCAGACCATTTCAGCTCACCCCAAATGCCTTTTAGTTCTTGCATTGAATTTGATGTTTTTGGAAGGGCTCCAGGAGAAGACTCCTGTTACTCAAGTCTATGTCACTGATATACGTTCTAATTACCGAACTGGAAGTTGGAGTAATTAGGGCAGACATGGTAGCAAGCACTGAGTACACCTTCCATCATCAGTGCAATGCCCATAGCATAGAAGAGACCAAAGTGTTTGGGAATCCCATACTCCTGAAAAAAGGAGAAAGGTTGTTAATAGAAAGACAACCCCAAATGGTGGCCTCAGGTGGCTCTACACACAATTTGTCATCACATCATCAAGCCAGACATCCCTCCCCTATGCAGGTCTACTTGAAATCATGGCCCTTCCCAGTTCTTGCCTTTGGTCTGTCCCACTTTCTCCTCACCATAGCAAAGATGTCTTTAGCTTCCAGGGCTCTTCGATGGAGAAGGTCCCGGCGCAACACTATCAGCAGAAACAGGAAGCCCAGGAGCACATGGCCCATGTTACTGAGAATATTATTGAAGGCGCTATAGAGATGAGTGAGAAATGATGCGTGTGAAAGCCATCACAAGGATTCCAAGAAGGAATGCTAAAGTGAGCTGGGGAACTCAGCATTTGGTAGTTTTCGCTGCTAACTTTCCCTGGGCCTTCAGGGTTGGACAATCACCGGAACTCCTCTTTAACTCCTTGATTTGAAGATGCTCATTTGACTTAACTTCTCAGGGATGCCTGCTCACCATCCCTAACACCCACCTGATCATCTCTTGTCCTCATGGCCCTGGCAAAGCATGAGTCCTGAGGAAGAGCTGGTCCAGAGATGGAAAAGCATTTAAGCTCCACCTACAACTCTCATCAACAGACCCACAGTGGGTCAGTATTTAGGTCTCTAACTGTTGATTTTAGGATAAGCACAGATGTATCACCAACAGTGGCTGGGTCTACTCGGTTACAGAAGTTGGGTTCCCACTCTCAGGGAAACATTTTCTTTCACCAAGTTCTGGGGGCTTTAGAACAACTAGGTTTGTGGATAAATTCTGACATCACTAAGAACCAAGGGAACCAAATTCAGCAAACCCTTACCTGTCTAAGCCTTGCCATCTTCATCTAAAATGGTGGTTCTAATGATGTCTACTTCGTGAGGTCATTTAACAGACTGCATGAGAGCTGGCCACCAACTAATGTTCATGGGCATGGGCCACCCATAGTTAGAGATCTGGCTTTTAAAAACTTCACTGTCCACTCCTCATCAGGTCACTCTTAGGAATATTGCCTGGGAGAGATGTGTACCTGGTCTCTACATCTGGCTTTAATTCCTCTTTGCCCTGACTAGGGTAGTTTTCTGCAGTTGTTTTTTCATGGTTTTAAAAACTTAAGTCAAATTAGACAGAAAGAATCTCAAATGCTTCACAAGGAACCAGAGGGCTGGGTTTACCTCAGGACGCCCAAGGGGTGAGCACAGAGAAAGTTGTAGTAACAGATGTCCTGATTGCCAGTGACATTTACCACCTATAAAATCAAAAGAGAGAAGAGGAAATGTGGCTTTCCCCCATCCTCTGAGTCTGCCCAAAGTCACAAAGAACAGAAAGGACTCAGAGGGAATGGAGATGTCCCACCCTCTGAGTGCCCCACCAAGGAACCAGTGAGGAAGTGTCTAGTTTTCCTTATCTATCCTCTCTCCATCAAGAACCTTCCCAAATCAGAGCAAGTTGCAGCTTCTGACAGGGTTCCCAAGGATGTAGAGAATGTTTAGATTACAAACAGTGGTGTTCAAACCTCATAGAGACTTTGTCTTCATTATGTAATGAATATGAATGGACTAGATATTTTACCTCGTTAGCTTGGCTCTACAGAGAAATCATAGAGGATTTAAACAATACTGATAACTATATCCTGAAGCCCTATTCTGTTTAGTTGGGGGTTCTACCTTGGACCCTGAGATTCTTAAAAGTACCCCGTATGATTTTAATACATAGCAAAAATTGAGGGACAATGCATAAAATGTCCTTAACTGCATATCCTTCTAAATGGGCCTCCTCAAGTCTCATAATTTCTAGAAAACGTATACTTAGAAATATGGATCCCAATTAAATTCCTACTTTGGTGACTTGGACTCAGGGTTTCTACAAAGGAGCAGTGGATATCCTCAAGCTGTTTTAGTGTGAATATTTTTCATCTGATTTTTCATTTTTTGTTGTTAGTTTAATATCTTCTTAGTTCCATGAAAATGCTTTAAAACTATTTGAAAAAGATTTATCTATGTTGCATGTAGGAGTGTTTTGCTTGTATGTATGTCTGTGTACCACTTGTGTGCCTGACATCCATTGAGGCAGAAGAGGGTGATCAATTCCCCTGGAACTGGAATTACAGATGGTTCTGAGAGGCCATGTAGGCACTGGGAACCCAGGTCCTCTGCAAGAGCAACAAGTGTTCTTAACTGCAGAGCCATCTCTCCAGCCCCTTATGAAGCTTTTGGTAATTTTATAGACTATCTCCAATGAGCAGGTACAGGCTAAATTAGACTTCTGACTTCTTTTGTTAAGTCTGGAGAATTCATTTTGTTTTACGTTTTTGAGGCAGTCTCACGTTGCCCAGGCTGGCCTTGAACTCACTACCTGAGATGGCCCTGAACTTCTGATCCTCTGGTCTCCTTGTCCCTCTTGCTGGGGTCACGGGCATGTTACATCTGTTTATGAGGTGCTGGGATTGAACACAGAATTTCATGTATTCTAGGCAAACTCTCCCCTCACTGAGCTACAGCCCTAGTCCATTAGTCTAGAACTTTGTTTACTCTACTCATTGTTTCCTGATGATCAACTCAGAAGGATAAATGACAGGTGCCACTGATAGACATTATCACTGAATGATTGATTTTAGGTTGGTAAACTAAACAATATAAGGTACCAGACTCCTTTGTGATGAAACAATTGGGAAATAAATGGAAAAGGTCTCAGAGATGAAGTTAATGAAGAAGACTAATTGGAACCAAAAATGGGAATTTTTTTTTTTTAAAGTTTCTTGGAGGCTGGTGGTGCATGCCTTTAATTCTAGCACTTTGGAGGCAGAGGCAGGTGGATCTCTGTGAGTTCAAGACCAGCCTGGTCTATATATAGCAGTTCCAGGACAGGCAGAGCTGCAAAATAGAGAGACCTTGTCTCAAAAACAATTAACCAAAAATCTAGTTCTTGGGACTGAAGAGTGGCTAAGATGGCTTAGTGGTTAGAAGCACATACTGCTGTTCCAAAGGACTTGAGGGTGCACAGCCTGATGATGGCAGGTAACTCACAACTGCCTTTAACTTTAATTCCAGGAGATTCAATACCTATAGTGTCTTCAGGCACCTCTCTCTCTCTCTCTCTCTCTCTCTCTCTCTCTCTCTCTCACACACACACACACACACACACACACACACACACACACACATATGAAATGGGGAAATATTTAAAAAATTAGTTTTGAACTGTCCCCAAGCTAAACTGTTCCCTGAAAGTCAGAGTGTTGCCTTTGGATGGAAGCTGGGCATCTGGGCGGGGCAACACTTACTGTCTGGTAGGTGATAACGAGCTGCATCACAGGCAGTGCATAAAACACAGCGATGGTGATGATGTTCCTGCGACAGAACATAAATGGTGATGTCACCCCAAGATGACAGCAGACTCTGCTCAGCTTTTTAAAAAGAATGCTTCCACCTTACAAGTCCATACTTAGCTTGCAAAAGCAGCTAGGAGCTGAGGATAGAGCTCCTGATTCTGAAGTCTGCCTCTCTTTTCCATTTGGTAGACAGGATTTGAACCAAAGCAGACAGAGGGAGGTAAATAAAGCTTGCCTTGGTTACTCCTATTGATTTGATGATAGCAAAGAATCCTTGCACTGTTAACTGAAACCATTAATCATTTATTTAACTTACTGGAGACAGAGTCTTGCTATGTAGCCCTGACTGGCCAGAACTTATTATGTGGCAAAGCTGGTCTTGAACCTGTGGTAATTTCAAAAGCTGTGGTTACAGATATTGCCATCATGCCTGACCTGAAATTATGTATTTAGAGCTAACTCTTGACACTCAATGAGTTGAAGTTCTCCTCCTCCTCTTCCTCCTGCTCCTTTCTTCTTATTTGTATAATCATTTAAAAAACAGACTAAAATCTACTTATATAGCCATATTGCCCCTTTAGTACACTGTCAGATTAAATGTGGTTGGAGTGCAAGTACTAAGAGAGGAATAACTTGTGGAGGCTCTTAACACTTAATTCCAAAATGATAGCTCAGCTATGAAATTCCATTTGGCTCCCTGGCTTCATTCTAATGTCTACAGTCAGAAGCAGGAGGATTCTACAGAAAATAAAAATGCAGGGGCAGGGTGTTGGCATAAGAGGACCACAGTTAGTCTAGAGCTTTCGGAGCAGAGGGAGGCCCCTTGCTAGGCAGCCAAGCCTCTTGACTGAGTAGAAAGACATGCCCACGAGGTATGGCCACATTACAGGTCTTTTTTGTTACAAGTTGGAGGCATCATCCATAGCGTGCCTTATTAAACACTAACTCTCTGTGATATAAATGGTAGTAGTTTTTGCAAAGAAAAATGTAAATGTAAAGAATTCAGGATTGGAGAATGTAGCTCAGTGGTAAAGGACTTGCTTTCCCTGTTATGTATGGGCCTGGGTTTGATCTCTAGCATTGCAGTATACATATACATAATAATAAATAGATTTAAGCAATTCAATGTTTGTTTGTTTTTTTGAGGCAGGGTTTCTCTGTGTAGCTTTGGAGCCTGTCCTGGACTCCCTTTTAGACCAAGCTGGCCTTGAACTCACAGAGATCTGCCTGCCTCTGACTCCCAAGTGCTGGTATTAAAGGTGTGTGCCACCGCCTCCTGGCTTAATTCAATGATTTTAAGGAAACCACGATCCCACTGGTCATTTACTTACCAAAAATAAATCTTATACTTTTTGCTGACAATTCTCCGGTCCTTCCTGGACAGATCTGACAGGTACAGAAACATCTAGGACACCAATAGGAAGAGAAGACAGAGCCGAGCTTGGCTTCATGTACAGGATATAAGGGAGAACTTTACAAAGACCAGTTTAGTTCCCTCTGGGGATTAAAATTATTCATCAAAACATTTCCTCTAATTTCGATTTTCTCTGGATACTACCAATAAAACACTGCCATTCTCCTTGGCATATCGAGGATTCGGCTGATGCAAGAATCCTACCAGGAGTACTGAACATGTCCCACATCTCAAGCATGGCCTGCCCAGCTTTCAGATCAGCTCGCTGTGTCATTCCTGAATTGCACATAGTTGAAACTGTGATTTATACTCATATATTTTGCTAGATCAAATACAATATATTAAACATGCCCGAAAGCAATGGGCTTTGCTCTCAAATGATGTATGCTCAGAAACAGGACGGTTTCCAGAGCAGCCCTGAGGCGAATCTCGATTTCCATCTGATTGGATCCCTTGATCCTTCCCTCTTCACAAACACTTCAGGTGCCCAGACTGCAGAGTGCCCTGCTGCTCTGTTCTATCTGATGGAGAGGCTGTTGCTTTGGGCTCTGGCTTTGTTTCATCTAAATCCTTCAGAATATTGGACCCCCCTTCGAAGGAAAAACAAGGAAACCAAGGCCCTGGTGAAGTTTATTTTACTACCAAACTCTCTTCCATTTCAAAAACTACAGTCATAGAGTATTGGTACCTTGGTCCGGATCACATTTTTGTCACTTTCAATATCTGGCATGGTATCGAAGTCACTCTCCTCCACAGAGCTGTCTGTGTCTGAGTGGCATGGCTGCCCACCATCGGAGGAAGACATCTGTCTTCCAGGACTGGAACTTGACTCGTCTGAAACAGAAAACTCATCTGCCTTTAAAAGCCAAGAATAGTCTATGGAGTCCATTCCTCTGCAAAAAGCACGGTGCTTACTCAGTCTAGAAAAGACCGTGTTAGTCCAATTTAACTCTTTGCCAACAAGACTTGCTCCTTGGCTGCCTTCCCAAGCGCACTCTGTTCATCCTTTCCTCCCATTGACTTGTCTGTTTCTAGGGCCGACTATAAAGAATAAACGGCATCTGCTCTGTAGATATCCGGATGCAAAAATAACCTTGTGCTTGTATATCATGTTTCATATTTTAAGATATGAACACAGATGTATGAGCATGCACATGCAGGGTTATTTATAGCTTCTATCATGCATGTGGGTAAACACACACATATCCAACTGCTGTACATTTCTCACAGACTATTTATTCAGAGAGATCCCCCACATGCCATTTCTATCATTACATAATGAAAACAGCATTCTCGGGAAAGGAGTCTTCTGTTCTCGTGAGTGAATGTTCTGGAGCAGATGGGATCTGTGCAGCCCAAGCGCATGGGCTGAGCCTACCTTCCGCTTTATTTCTTCTCTTCAGATGGTTTTTTAAAAAAATCCTGTTCTAACCGAACTAAAAATAAGTAGCCTGCACTGAACCCACACACTCAAAGTTACAGAATAAAAGAGCAGGACTACAGGCCATCTATGGAGACTGCTTAAGGCACACAATTCACAGGCCTGCAAGCATCATGGCAGGGACAGGCGCACAGGTCCTCCTGCCCTATAAGACAGGTATGGGGATCTGGTTTCTTTCAGGATGCTTAATGACTTACTAGGTTTGCCCAGTGAATAACTGGGTGGCACTGAGCATGCTCACTGTGAACTTAGGGTGAAGGACTGTTCAGCTACAGTCATGTTCACTTGTAGCACTCTTAGTTTATGCCCTACATCACAGACACCTGAGAAGGAAGCAACTGGTCAACTGACAGTGGCTGGCTGTGAGATGTCTTTCAAGCCCTAAAATCAGCTCCTCAGGGAGCTGACAAGGTGGCAGCAATGGTAGAGGACCCGGTACACAGGCCTAATGGCCTGAGTTTGATTCCCAGATCCCACAGAGGAGCAGAAGAGAACTGAGTTAGAAGTGTCCTCTGACCTCCACTCATGTGCACCTGTTCACACACATATCACACACACACACACACACACACTAAATAAATAGTTTAAGTACTTGAGGGGCTGGTGAGGTGCATGCTGCCACACCCACTGATCTGAATTCAGTCTCTGGGACCCTCATGGTAGAAGGACAGAAACAACTATGGCCAATTGTCCTTTGATCACCAATATACATATTGGTATCACATCCTCCACCCCCAAAATGAGTAAATAAAAATGTAATAAAAAATTCAAGTCCCAAGGGAGCTTTGGAAGTTGATGGCAACACTACAGTGAGTTCTGCTCAAGTGTAGCTAGCAGATCCAACAAACAGAACAATAGAACCAGAGAGAGTGCTGGAAGGAACTTTCCAGAACATCCAGCCAGTTCATCTTTTATGTACACGAACAGCTTCACTGGGCGGCTGGCTTACCCATGCTCACAATGATTAGTGGCTGAAGAACCCTTTGCATTAATCTCTGCAGAGTAAAGACAAAGTCCTACCAAAGGACTCATTATAGGAAGTACCTATTGCTCCATAGTTGCTTCCTTCAGGTGTACTGGCAGCGATGGGGTGTGACACAGCCATATTTCCTGAGCCTACAGCAAGAAACAAACAAACAAACAAAAAAGAGAAAAGTGCTTTACTCTTAGCTGCTGAAATAAAATCACATGACTTGAAGTAGCCGAGTCACTTAAGCAGCCTTCTTTAAATCTGAATTTCTTTCCACTTTAATACAGGAATCATCACTGTGGGTTCTCAGGGCCACATCTAGCCTGCCACCTCTTTCTGTATGGTTTAGAGACAGGGTTTTCTCTGTGTAACAGCCCTAGCTGTCCTGGAACTCAATCTGGAGACCAGGCTGGCCTCAAACTCACAGAGATCCGCCTGCTCTGCCTCCCAAGTGCTGGGACCAAAGGCGTGTGCCACCACTGCCCAGCTGCAGAGTTGTTTGTAAATCTTTTAGTTTGTAGAGGAAATTCAAAAGAAGGATAATATTTCATGGCATGTAAAATTTACACTAAATTAAAATTTCAATGTTCAAGAACAAAGTCCAATCAAAACATAACCCCCCTCATTTAGGTACAGTTATGGTGTATTTGGATACTTGCAACTTAGAGCATATGTTTCCAAATGTCTAACGTATTTGTCATTTGATTTGACCCTACACAAGAAAAGTTAGCTTGGAAGTACAGCAAAGTTCTAGGAGTGAGGGTCCTGGGTCTATAATCACCATGGCAAGTGTCACCACTGAAGAGATAGCAGAAGTAATAGTCTGCTATTAAGTCACAGTAGGTTGGGGTTTATTCATTGTATCATTTAGAAGCATCCTAACTTTGCATAAGAAGGCTATTACTACACCAACTAGAGTCTTAAATGATGAACCAAGCAATTGACAGCGTGGGAGAAAGCTCCAGTGATTTCAAGGGCTATTAAGGAGGTAGATCAGGTACATCTGTTGCTAACCATTTGTTGACAGATTCGAGCAGATACTAATATTCTCAAGTGAAGCCCAGGGCTTCCTTGTGACAAGGAGAGTGGCACCCTTTCTCTGAGAGTCTAGGGGTATCCCTAGAGTCACCCCACTATATGCAAGAGGAAAATACCTTCAGCCACCTATGTGACTGCTGGGAAAGGTGTTATTCCTTCCAGTTAATCCATTTCTGAGAGGTAGGAAAAGCGGACTGAGAGCAGAGGCTACACATTAGCAGGCACCCAGGCAGTTTCTCTGACCTATTGCCACAGTACCTGCCAGAGCCAAACTCATCAAGGGAATCTGAGACAGTATTTCTTCACTGCTCTCTGAACTTTGCCAAGGATTTAGATATTGAAGGGCTGGTGGGGATTTTGAGCAATTCCTCTTTTTGAGAGGAGCCCTTGCCAGTCACATGACCTACAAAAGGGCGTAGAGTGATTCATTCTCTCTTTCTCTCTCTCTTCTTCCCTCACTCCCTCCTTTCCTCTTCCGTTTCAATTGGATTTTGGGAACTGAATCCAGGGCTGTTCATATTTCATGCAATTTCTCTACCACTCAACTACATCCCCACGCAACTCACCAGTGTCTTACGATGTGGTAGGGAAGTACTTTCAGTGAACATACCTAATACATGGAAACATCTGTGCTCTCAACATATTTCAGTGATTTTACTGAAAAAAAATGCAAAAGCTCTCATCACTTCCTAGTCACTATCAACTTTCTGTTCTAAAAAGATTTATTTATTTATGATGTATAGAGTGTCTGATTGCATGTGTACCTGTCTACCAGAAGAGGGCACCAGATCTTATTATTACAGATGGTTGTGAGCCACCACGTGGGTGCTGGGAACTGAACTCAGGACCTCTCGAAGAGCAGCCAGTGCTCTTAACCTCAGAGGCATCTCTCCAGCCCCACAATCAACTTTCTCTACCCCACTTTCAGACTTTGTTCCATGGAGGGGCTCTCAAAAAGTCAGTTTCTGAGGCCAACTCTCCAGGCTTTATTACATGTTTTTTATTTTTAAATAATTATGTCCCTATTGATTTCCTCCACCAGGGAAAATAACTAAGAGCAAAATTCAAAATTTCCAGGCAGGTGACAAGCCCGACAGCCTAAGAGACTCATTTTCCTTTCTCCCTTTGGTGAATGAGCTAAGGGCGTTGCCTCAGCCAGTGGGTGAGATGTGGAGCTAATGCAGTTCTTGGCAGACAAGGGTGTTCCCAGGGCTTGCAGGATGTAGACTCTGACCTTAAGAATGCATGCTCCCTTTGTTTCTGGGCTTGATATATTTATTATTTGGAGTGTTCAGGTCTCTGCACTTCCTTGGGCTAACCCTTAAGTATACAGCATGACATCAGCATCATGGATGCTTTTACATACAAGTTCAAAGATGAGAAATGATTATCTTGAAACACATTATTATCTGGGGCATGGGGGTGCATATGGGTACATGTTGGGGATCTAAATCTAGGGCTTTGCATGTGACAGGCAAACACTATCACAGAACTATATTCCCAGCCTAGCTTCAGACCTTTGAATGTTACGAATTAGATTTGGAGTCCAGAGAATGCTGTACAAATGCTTGGCTGTCTCCTTTTCACTGCGTCAGTGCTGGCTTCATTGTAACATAGAGTTTGGCAGCTGTTCTGGCTCCTGTTGACTGCAAGCATCGCTAGTACCAAAGCTACCACTCCTGACGCTTTCATTGCTGTGACTGATGCTGCCATCACTCCAGACTGAGAATGCAGTGTGTCGGACACTCTTGACTTTTCAACAGCCCCAAGAGGCAGGCGCTGTTATTACCGCTATTTTAACGATGGTAAAATAGAGGTGCTGAGAGATCAAGCAGCTTCCCCAGCCAGTTAGACAATGGATAGAGAGCGATGTGTTGTGCTATCTTCTAAAACTCACCTTCTTTTTGCAAAATTTATTTTACTGTATGTATTTAAGAGGCATAACATATTTATATGTCTTTATATGTGTGTGCCACACACACACAACAAAATAATAACCACATGTAAGCAAAGTATCCAGCTTCCCAGGGGACAGTACAACATGACAAGTCTTGTGAGATTTCCTCTGCTTTGAGAGCCTGCTTCTAGCATTTGCTCTGAGCCCAGCCCCTGAAGTGTTTCCTGTTGCTTTGAGCTCCATTGAGTTCTTGCTCCTCACAGACACTTTGTGTTGCTCATGGGAAAGAACTTTTTATAGACTCAATTCCCCCAAGGTTACTCCTGTGACTGTCTCATGGTAGCACACTCCTTCCTGGCTCTCCCTCCTAGCTGATCTTACCAGGCTGAGCTACATAAACCTGAAGGTCACTAGCCGGATTTTCCCTGGCTGGCTGGAGCTTGCCCCTCTTCTGCTCTTGTTTGGGTTGGTTAGGTCTTGGCTCATCCATGGTCATGGGAACACCGTAGGTGTTGCCAGCTCTGCCTGTAGCTGCTGTGTGCACAAAGGCTGCTTATCTCCTCCCTATTTCAAAGCCCTTTGTGGCGAGCATACCAGTTTTCTACTTCCTGAATGGAAGAAAACACCTATTTTCTTCAGGCGTCCTCAACCTGTACCTAGCAGCTGGTGCATGTAAATTGGTGGTTTTCCAGTTTTACCCCAAGAAAATATCTGGCCTTGTCTGCCGAAGACACTTGTGGTTGTCACAAGGAGGAAAGGTACTTTTAATCCAGCACTGTATGGAACATCCCAAACAACAAAGAACTATGAATTTTGTAACTTCTATAAGGTTGATGAAAAGTTGTTTGAGAAAAATTGTGATCTGAGAGAGAGGACTAGTAATAATTCTAAAAGTACATTTACTTGAGTCCCCCACCCCCGCCCCACTCTTTTGAGACAGGCTGGTCTTGAACTCACTAGGTAATCCAGAGGATGACCCTGAAGACTTCTGATTCCCCTGCCTCTGCCTCCTAAGTGCTAGGATTACAGGCATGCACCAACTTGACCAGTTTATATGGTGCGGGGAGTTAACCCAGGGCTTGGAGCAAGCGAGGGAGGCACTCTGCCAACCGAGTTACACCCCCAGTTGTGAAGCTCTCTCTGTGTGGTTATGTATATAACAACAAGGATATTTCACCATCCCCTGAGCAAATTGAGAGCATGGGAAGAGGGGGCAGGAAGCTCCGAGAGTGAGAAGGGACGAAAAGGAAGGATGCAGAGGTCATGAGGGAGCAGAAAGGTTGAGTCAGATGTAGATTAGAAGAAAGGACATAAGATAGGTAGGATTTTAGTTGGGGGGTGGTAGAGGAAAATGGGAGGGAGAAGGGAACTGGGATTGTCATGTAATTCAATCTTGTTCGTAATTCAAATATATAAAAAATAAAAAACTAAAAAAATGTTTCTTGTAACTAAAGTGAACACAAGAACTAATTATAACAACCTGTCAGTACCTACCTGTGTATAATTGCCACAAGTTTTAGACAGGTCATATTCTCAAAATTATAGTGTTTACTTTCATTATACCAATAAGAAATAGCTCATTTTTAATGTAGTTCTTATTCCAGTTAAATACAAATTTTCTCCAATAAAGTCATAATCCTAAAAAAAAAACCCAAAAAACAAAAACAAAAAAAACAATAATGATATAATACTGCCTACCCCAGGAGAGCATGAGAAGAAATTGGTGGCCTCTTCTGACATTGCCACTTGAGGATGTGAACCTTCATCCCTCTCCCCCAGTATCCCTCAGAATAAGCAGAGAGTGCAGGGGCTAGCCGGGAAACAGCCCAGAGCACCACACTCCATCTACCCCAAAGCTACTCCCTCCATTTGTAGACGGAGGATCCTCTGGTATAGAAGGCAGTCTACAGGGACTGCCATTGACATGTGGTCCCACAAGAACAAAACCTATACTCCTTCATTCTTTTTGGTCACGGTGCTTCTGACTCTTAGCTCTTTCCAGTGCGCCTGATTTTCAATAATGATCTGGTTCAGGCCTGAGCTCCATTGACGTATGTTTTGACATTTAAGGGACCCTTTGGAACATGAAACTCCTTTAGTGATTATAGTAATCCAAAATTACCTCATTTATACCTCGAAAGAAAGGACAGCCTTCCACTCATAGAGTACTTAATCAATTCTAACCTACTAGATTTAGGCCCAAGTTCTAATTTATATTACATATTTTACAATTACATTATATATATTTTGCTATTATTAGCAAAACCTGGGGAGCATGGTAAAAAAGAGGAGCTCCCGGCAAACTGATTGAAACATTTTATAGCTCCTGGCAAACTGATTGAAACATTTTATAAACAACAGTGAAAGCAGAGCTTGGCTGTTTAAAGCTCCAAGAGCAGGTGTTTTATATTGGCAATTGAATGTTTATTAAGACAAAGAGTCTGGAAAGAGGGGTGGGGACTGGGAAAACAGACTAGCTGTTTCTTAAGGAAGACAAATGTAAACACCAAAAAGCCTTCCAGCAAAGGGAGAAAATCCCGCTGGGTGGAGGCAGCAGCCAGTTGGTATCCTCTAGGATTCTGTGGACTCTTGTGGAAAGCACAGAACTAAATATCGGTTACACCTGATTTCTAATGAAGTCCATCCCACCAGCCATTTTCAGTTCTCACTCCTTCCCAAATAGTTTAGGAGTTTATAGTAATCTGGGCTTCGTCAAACCGAGCTTTTAAGTTTTAATAAAAATATCAGAGAAAATCCTTTGTGGGAATTCTCAGAGTGGAGGAATGGGTCAGATATTTAATAATGTTGGGCTCCTCAATGACTATATTTTTTATTGTGCTTGTTAGTCTCAAATATTTTGATTTTCTAGATGCTTGGACAAACAAACCCACAAAGCCCTTTTAATCTCAAAGGGAAGTATACTTTGTGAGAGCTGACACAGCACATTCTCACTTCACTTCCCGAGTCAGCTTAGGGATACGAACAGATGTGAGCAGTTAGATCCCAGGGAGGAGATAACTAGTGAAAAACATGGTTGGCAAGTAAGCACCCTATGAATAATTGAAGGACATTCCAGGTATAGACTCTTTGCATGGGCTCTGTGTCTCAATAGTTACCAACTGTAAAAACGTTTCTCACGAGTGCTGCCTTCTATAGAAAGTCTGTGGATGAGAGGACTCTGGCATAAGAATGGGGTGGGGGAGACAAGAGAAACAAATGGTATCCGAAAGGATGTGGTTGCACCATGCAGCATCTTTTGGGATTAGAAATTAACCAAGGAATTCTCTTACCATCACTGGAACCAAAGCTTCCACTAATGGATTTCCTCTGGAACCTGCAAGCGAGCATACATACAAATACATACATGTATACACATGTCCATATTCTCTTAAGATTCAGCATGTTATTTCCTACACACTCTGTTAAACATTTGTCTTCTAGGATGGCTTTAAAATGGCCTCTTGGAGAGATTTACTGGCAGGAATTTAAAATGACACAGCCACTTTGGGTGACAATTCGGCACTTCCTCAGAGAGCCAAACAAACTGATCACATGACCCAGCAATTCAATCTCAGGCATGTGCATTATTTATTAACATTCATTTATTTGCAGATATAAACTCAACATCACAACATGTGTCTTTTAAAACATGCAATTCGGTGTGTTTTAATATATTAAAATACTTGTGCAGCTGTCACCATGACCTAATTTTAACATTAGCATTTTCATGGCCTCCTCCAAAGAAGCTGGGTCTGCTAGAGATTACTCTCCATTTTCCTCTTTTCCCTGGCCCTTGCTAATCCACTTCTTGCCTTTGTAAGTTTACCTCTCCGAGACAAGTTAATATAAATGAAACCACTGCATACATGAACTTTTTTGAGTGGCTTCCTTGATGTAGCATATCTTTGAGGTTAATCCATACTGTAATGTGTATCAGTCCTTGAATATATTTATGCCTGAGTAATATTCCAGTGTTTGTGTGTGTGTACGCACGCACACGTATGTACTACATTTCATTTATTTGTTTTCCCTTGATGAGTATTTCCTATTGTTCCTGTTTGCTGTGTTTTAAAATAACACTGCTGTGATCACTTGTGTTCATGTTTTTTTCTATAGATACATCTTCACTTCTCTTGGCTACATAACTACAAGGGAAGGCCTGAGGCCACTCTGTGTTTTTTTACTCTTCCAAACCATTTTCCACAAGGGCTATAGAGCAAACATTGTTTCACATTCCCACCAGCCAAGTCTGAGGATTCCCATTTTTTCTACAGCTTTGCCATTCCTCATTTTCTATTTAAATATTTTCATTATGCCTAACCTTTAGACTTGGACACTTCATTACAGCTTTGATTTGTATTTCCCTGAAAGTTAATGATGAACATCTGTCCACATGCTTGCTGGGCATCCATACATCTTCCTTGAAGTGTCTGTTTAAATCTTTTACCCATTTTTTAATGATTTAAATTTTAAAAAATTTATGTGTGTGTTTGTATGTGCACCTGAGTGCAATGCCCACAGAGACCAGAAGAGGGCATCAGATCCCCTGAAGCTGGAGTTACAGGTGGTTGTGAGTCCCCTGAAACAAACCGGTGATGTGAATCTAAACCCTCTTAACCTCTGAGACATGTCTTCAGTCCCTTAACCTGTTTTTAAATTATCTCTTCTTTTTAATTACTGAGTTCTAAGAATTTTTAGCATTACTAGATGCTAGACTCATTCATGATTTGCAAGTATTTTTATTCCATATTGTGGACAATGGTATTTGTTTATTGATGTGTTTTTTGAAAAATAAAGTGTTTCATTGCTTAAAGTTTAACATATATTTTCTTTCTCTTACTTGTGCTTTTGATGACTAAGAAAGAATTATCTAATCCAAGGCCACAATTTACACTCATATTTTCTCTTTAGAGTTTTACGGTTCTAACTTTTACACTTAGGTTTTTGATCCAAGTTTGAGTTAATATCTGTATATGATATGAGGTAGGAGCTAACATCACTATTTCTTTTTTCATGTGATATCTAGTTTTAATAACACCACATGTTGAAAGAAACACCTTTTCTCTACTGAACTGTTTTGTAGAAAACTGACCATTAAGAGTTTATTCACAGAGAGTTGGCAAGACAGCTCAATGGGTGGCAGGCAGCATTTGCTGCTAAACTCAACAACTTGAGTTTGGTCCCTTGGAAGCCATGTGGTGGAAGGAAAAACCTCCCTAACTCTCTCAAGTCATCCTCTGGCCTCCACATGTGTGGCCTGTGCTCAGGCCTGTACATATGCATACACAAAATAAAATGAAGAGTTCTATCCCAATGTATCAGCTACAGAGTCTTGATTACCAAGGCTTTGGAATAAGCTCTGATATCAGGAAGTGTCAAGTCCTCTAAGTTTTGTCCTTTTTATTCAAGGTGTGTGTGTGTGTGTGTGTGTGTGTGTGTGTGTGTGTGACCAATGAATAATAATAATAATAATAATAATAATAATAATAATAATAATAATAATAATAATAATAATAATAATAATAATAATAATAATAATAATAATAATAATAATAAGAATAATAATAATAATAATAATAATAATAATAATAATAATAATAATGATCAACCAACGAAAGTTCAACTTCAGTAGTCACAAGAGAAATCCTGCACAATTTTAATCCCAGCATTTAGGAGGCAGAGGCATGAGGATCTCTGTGAGTTTGAAGGCAGCCTGGTCTTCAGAGGGAGCTCTAGGACAGTCAGGGCTGCATGGAGAAACCCTGTCTGGAAAAAGAAAATCAGAAAGAAAGGAAGAAGGAAAGAAAGAAAAAAAGAAAGAAAGAAAGAAAGAAAGGAAAGAAGATAGTAACAACAAATACTGGAAAAGATATTGATGAGGGAAATCCATACACTGCTGGTGCCAAAATAAACCAGTCAGGCCACTGTGATGTCAGCACGGAGGTTTCTAAAACACAGACTATCTACCTGATGACCCACCCACACCGTTCTAAGTCTGCATGTCTCAGAAACACCTGCACACCAGTCTTTATTGTTGCATTGTTCATACTAACTTAGTTACAGAGCCATCCTAGGTGTCCAGCCACAGAGTAATGGATACAAAAGTTGTATATATACGCACACACAATGAAGAATGAAGTTATGTCATTTGCAGGAGAATGGATGCCACTGGAGATAATCTATATATTAAGTGAATTAAACTACCCTCAGAAGGGCAATACCCTATGTTTTCTTACACTTGTGGTTTCCAGGCTTGAGTAGATACAGAAAATAAAGTATGTATAAATGAAAAGATCTTGGTTATTCTGTGTCCCTTGCACCTCCATATGTATTTTGGGATGACTTTGTTAACTTCTGTTTCTTTACCCATGCTTGAATTAGCTTCTGGAACTGCTATAGTTTTTCATGAGAGGAGTTCAGTAATTTTCACAGCTAAGGTCAAGTAGGAAGTATCTAGTTAGCAAGTTGAAAAAATAGCAGATGGAAACTGTGATAGGTTGACTGAGATGGGTGCATGCACCTGCACAAGTAGTCTGGAAACTGGGGTAGCCTCATGACTCATTCATCCTCCAGTAGATAAGGGAAATACCCCTGAGCCTATAACTTGAGGCTTGCAGTCTCTGCTCTCCCTGAGATCTGACAATCCCAGGCTGGCCCACTGGAGTATAGATACCAAGTGCCACTGAGGCCATTCTAGGACTGACAGTCTCTTGGACCTGCCAGCAGGTCATATTTTGTGACCACATCCAGCTGAGATTTCTGACTCTGGCTGCGATAATACTAGAAGTCTCTGGATTGTATACTATCAAGAAATGAATTGATGGTTTATGATTTTCTTTTCTCAGTGAAGCCGTTTTTCTAAATGTACCATTTGGAGCTATCAATCAATGCAGAACCATTCCCTGACCCATACATGGGTCTTCTGAAACTGCTGTATGCTGATATTTAAAGTGACAGCATGGCAGTGGGCATAAGAGTCAATGATAAAGATAGATACCCAGAACTGGGTGGTTGGACTTAGAGAGTGGGGGCGGTGGTGGTGATAAGACAGAGACAGAGAGAGAGAGAGAGAGAGAGAGAGAGAGAGAAAGAGAGAGAGAGAGAGAGAGAGAGAGAACACATATTCAGTGCTTGACTCCAAGCCTGCACAGCCCTTGTAGGGGAATGAATAAAAAGACATGCTGAAGCCGGGCGTTGGTGGCGCATGCCTTTAATCCCAGCACTCAGGAGGCAGAGGCAGGCAGATCTCTGTGAGTTCGAGGCCAGCCTGGTCTACAGAGCAAGTGCCAGGACAGGCTCCAAAGCAATACAGAGAAACCCTGTCTTGAAAAACCAACCAACCAACCAAACAAAACAAAACAAGCAAACAAACAAAAAACCATGCTGAGATGGGATGAGGGAGTGGGGAGGAAGTGGTATTTGTATGACAAGACAGCAAGAAGATACTTGGGAAAGCTCTTAGCTCTCCAAGACCTGGGGCCATGACCCTTACAAGTGTTTCTTATGAACTCATAGTGTGGGTTTTAAGCCCCACATGTGTTAATAATAAAATATAAGGACTCACCAGGCAAATGGCATTGGGTTGAGAGAGCATCACATAGGTGAATGGAAAACTTTGTTTTTAATGGAGGAAAAGTTCTCCTATTAGCATTTTCCTTCAGTCTAGTCCCCTATTTAGAATGCCAAATGGTCTCATGTCTCTAGATTTCTATTTCAGTTCGTCTATATTGGGAAAGAGTCTGTGCTTGTGCACTTGACTGGAGTGAAGTCATCTGTTGCGAACTTTCAACAGAGTCTGAACACAACTTTCAAAGACTCTGCTAACTTCAGCTGCTGAATAATAGCTATAGAGACAGTGACGAACAGCTAGCTGTTAGCTCCACTTTCTCCTGTTTGCCTGTTGATGGCTCATGTTCGCTGGCTAAAGAGAAAGAATTCTGTTTTCTCAACCTAAGACATAGGTCTTGCTAAGAGGCAGAATACTGGCTCCTTACTGTGACACTGGAGCTGTCTGAGGCAAAACGGGAATGTTTTGGGACCTCGTACAATCATAGCCTTGCTGGGTGTATAGGCTGGTGGTCACACTTCCTTGGCCCAGGACTGTCATCTGTCACATGCCTCTACCACACAAGACACACTTTGATCAAGCCTGTTGAAGACTTTAGGCTCTAGAGCCAGGCTGCCTGAGTTTAAATCCTAACTCCTTCAGGTACTGGCTGTGGATCCCTGATCTAATTGCTTAACCCCTCTGTGCTTCAGTTTCCTTAAGCTTCCAAATAGTAACAATCATAGTAGCCCAATAATAGTGCCTGGGGCATCTGATGAGAGAACCTGCTCAGCACACAATTAGACAGATATACAGATACAGTTAACATGTTAGACAGCACACAGTCAGGCAGATACGCAGATATAGTTAACACGTTAGAAACAGTAACTTTTAGAGGAAACTGCCCCCCCTTCATGTATATACTTTCCAGGTATGATATTTGCCTACATCCTAAGCTTCTGTTTTTAACACTTTCTTTCTTTTTTTTTTTAAAGTCAGTCTTTCTTGTAGTTCATTTAGCTTCAAACTCACTATGTAGCCAAGGATGAATGACTTTGAACTCCCAACCCTCCTGCCTCCAACTCCAGAATGCTGAGCACTGGAATCAAACATAGGCACCACCATGTCTGGCTCTGTTTTTAACGTTGCATTTTAACATAGTTTTAAATTTACAGAGATGTTTCAAGGATGAGTAGAGAAATAGAATATAGAATATCCACCAATACATCTTTTACCTAGATTCACTTGTTGTCAGCATTTCTTGCCCTCCATCTCCCTCACTCCCTCCCTCCTTCCTTTCTTTCCTTCTCTCTCTCTCTCATTCTTTCTTTCTTTCTTTCTTTCTTTCTTTCTTTCTTTCTTTCTTCTCAGAAAGGATCTCACTCAGCAGCCCAAACTGACCTGGAATTCATAGTCCTCTTGCCTCTGCCTCCCTAGTGTCTACATCAATAAACCTGACTTTAGCTCTGTCTCTCAGATCTATTTTCCCAAATGTCTAGTATGGACTCATCTACATATATGCTAATTTATAGCATGTGGTCATCTGCATGTATATTAGTTGCTAACATGTACTTATCTAAATGCATATTAATTTCTGTGCCATTTGAAAGTCACTTGAAATTGTTATAGATTTTTACCCTCAATATTTCTATAGAGTGAAGAAAACATCAAATTCTTTAAATTTAACACTTGCATATATATTTACTTAATGCTGGGGATTGAACCTAGGGCTTCATGCATGCCAGGCAAGCGCTCTGCCACTGAGTTATATCCCAGCCCACTGATTACTTTTTTGTTTTGAGGCAGGGTCTCCCTAAGTAGTCCTGAATTACTCTGTAGCCCAGGCTGACCTCCTTTACACCCAGGGCAGCTAGGATTACAGACTCTTTCATCCACTGTTTGTCTTCTAATTTCAACTAGCCTAAAACTATCTTTTATAGCATATTTTTACTTCGAGTGCAAGATCCAGGCTGAGGTCATGCACTGTCTTTAGCTTCTCACCTATCATCTCCTCTCATAGGATCTTTTACATAGCCTTTTGCCCCTTCTATGGCAGTTTTTGTGTCTGATTTTTCCACTTGGTTAGATTCAAAATATAGGTTTGTAGGAATCGGCATATCTGGAGGCATTGCTCACTGTCTCCTTGATAGCATTTATTTTGATTGGGGGGTTGGTTGTTTTATTTCCCCACTATATTATTATTTTTTAAATATCCCACTATATGTATTATTTTTTTCCCTTATGGCTTGGCAATTTATGAAGCTACACAACCACCCAGTTCCTCTTCTGACTCCCCTCCTTAACTTAGCATTCATTGATGACTTTGCTTTACTTTCGTAGTATGGGGGTTGAAGCCAGGTCTGGCACATGCTAGGTGAATGGTCTACCACTGAGCTACAACCACAGACTTGGGGTTTTTTGTTTGTTTGTTTGTTTTTTAGCTTTTTATTTCTATTTTTATTCAACTTTTAAATTTATTTTACATACCGACCACCTTCCCCACCCTCCTCTCCTTATGTTTCCTCCCCACACCTCCCTTCTACCCCTTCCCATCATCCACTCCTCCATTCAGATAGGGTAAGGCCTCCTATAGGAATCAACAAAGCATGGCATATTGAGTTGAGGCAGGACCAAGCTCCTCCCCACTGCATCAAGGCCAAACAAGGCATCCCAACATAGGATATAGGGTCCAAAGAGCCAGCTCATGCATCAGGGACAGGTCCTGGTCCTACTGCTAAGGGACCCACAAAAGACCAAGCTACACAGTTGTCACCTAGAGACAGAGGGCCTAGGTTAGTTCCATGCTGGCTCCCAGCTGTCTGTTCAGAGTGCATGAACTCCCACAAACTCAGGTCAGCTGTCTCTGTGGGTTTCCCTGTCATGACCTTGACACCCCTCAACCCCACCCCCACATATAATCCCTTCACCCTTTCTTCAACTGAACTCTGGGAACTCGTACCAGGGCTTGGCTGTGGACCTCTGCATCTACTTCCACCAGGTATTGCATGAAGGCTCTACGAAGACACTTTGGGTAGTCACCATGAGGCAGGCTCTCACTAAGACTTGCTCTGTAGCTCAGACAGCTCTTGACCTTTCAGTTCTCTTCCTCAGCCTCCCAAGTAGCTGAGAGTACAGGCCTGTGCCACCAGACCTGGTTCTATTGACAACTCCTAACCTGAGTAAATGTTAGCTGTTATGTTTGCAAATGACTTTCCAACCCCGGCACTCCCTCTGCGTTTATCAGTCAGCTCTTGGTCTGCTATAGGAAGGATACTGAAGGGCCCAGACCCCTCACCCAGCCTCCTGCTTTGGTAGCCATGACAGGCTGCAGAAAAGACCCAACAAAATGTAGGCCCCCTGACTCAGCAGGATATGCTGAGCCCCCTTCCCGACCTTACTTCGAAGAAACTGCCAGATACCCTCCATGTGGGAAGGAACCAATCAGAAGTTAGCTGGTGGACTTTGGGTGTGCTTTACTGATAGTAGTGGGATGCAGTAGGTAGCAAAGGTCCAAGCATAGCAACCTTTCGGCAGCTGCAGCTGACCAATCAGCTCAGGACAGGTTCCCCCATCCTGGAGTTGTGCCAGTCCTGAAACTGTTATTGTGCAACTATCAGACTCCCAGATACCCACCCCCACTTGCTCTACCCCCAATATATGCCCTGCCTCACTGCTGCTGGGGTCCTTCCTACTCTACCCACTGTGTCGGATGGACGGAGGACGGGAGTTAACGTGTAATTAAAAAGATTCTTTGCTTTTGCATCAGATCTGGTCTCTTGGTTTGGAGGATTCAGAGTCTGGGCACAACAATATGTTCATTTTAACATCAGTATTTTTTTGGGAGCACCTTTCCCTGATGGACAGTTATTGTTCTAAATTTGCTGAATTCACTGGATATGTGTTTATGGGTATTTATTTCTTCATATATTTCCATTTTTTTCAAATGGCTTATAATACACAATTCTCAATTATTTTGGCGCTTAAATCTACCCAGATTTGGTAGTGGTGGACCTGCTTTTATTTAGGTTTTCAGTTGTGTTGGGACTCAGACCCAAGACTTACACACACTAGGGAAGCACTTAACACTGACTCACACTCCCAGCCCTTGGTTTTCAGAGACAGGGTCTCCATGCTGTAGCTCAGGCTGGCTTGAACTCTGTTTAGTTTGTGTAGACTCTATACTTCCCAGTCTCCTCTTCTCTAGGCACGCCCCTGGTGGGGAGTGGGGGGGTTTTGAAGGCAGTATCTGAACTCAAAGGTTTTCTGAGAGTATAGGAGAGAGTTGTTTACTCAATGAGAGAGGGGCCTTTGTTACAGAGATTGCTGTCAAGGAGCTCTTCTCACAGTTGTGTGTCTGGCCTAGAGTGCTCATTGCTCTCTGCTGCCTTTGTCCTGTTTTTTTTTTTTTTTCTTCCAAGTTTAAGAGGAGAGGGAAAACAACATTTGTTTGTTGTAAACCTCCTGCAGTCCTTTTGTAGTTGTTTCTCAGAAAGCATAACAAAACCAGAATTCTCAAAGTTCAGCACTGCTGAGAAAGGCAAAGAATGTTAGAGAATCTTTTATTTATGTTTTTAACCAGGGGCTCCAGATCCTTAGGCAGGGGAATTTCCTTGATCAAATTGCAGCATAGTTACCTCTCCCTTTTCTCCTAAAGGAATGTTTTTACTGGGAAATTGGTGCACCTGGTAACATGTATCAAAGCACGTCTCTCCTGCTAGGTCTGTACCTCCAGATCTATTTAGGCATTAAACTTCCTTTCGACAGAATGATTAAGTCTGTTTCTAGACTCTATGCTGGGAAAATCTGACATTTTCTGCAATCTGTGTGATTTACAGCGAGTATTCTCAGGTATAAAGACAATCTAGTTGCTTTGTTGTGGTTTCATAATGAAAATTCTGCTGGGTTCTGCCTGCGTGTTAGGTGGGACATCAACTTCAGATCTGCCAGTGAGCCAATTTTTGTCTCATTTCACAGATGGGAAACCTTAAGTGCAGACACAGGAGGACAAGTATCTTGCCCAAGATCTCAGTTAGTGGCCAGTCAATGTGTTCCTAAGCCTGTGCTCTAAACATGACATGGAGATAGGGACACCACCGCCTACCTCACATGATGGATAAGCATGACGAGCAGGCATCCCAAGTAGAAGGACAAGAAAATGGATACACTGAAAAGACTGGACTTCACATACACGGATTCTGGGGAGAAAGAGTCAGCTTTAGTCAGCCTGTCATAACTTGGGACTAGGAGGACTATATTGGAAACAACAGCACAGCTTAAAGAATCGGCCTCCATCACATCCATTCTTAAATACCAATATATTTTCCTGAGGCTGCAGAAGTATGGGAGGCCACAGGCAGTTTCACAGTGATGTCTGCCCTTGGAAGTGGGGTGGGGGGAAGGTGGAGGGGTGAGCTGGGGGAGATTACTGTATACAACTTTAGAATTGAGTCTCCCCTCCCCCCACCTCCTTTCCCCCCTTCCCTCCCTCTCCCTCTTCTTATTTCCTTCCCCCTTTCCTTCTCTCCCTCCCCCCTTTCTATGCTGGAGGGCTTCATATAAATTAGCCAAGCACTCTGCCACTAAACCACACCCCTGGCTGGCCTCTTTCTCTTCAAAAAGATCTAATTCTATTTCTAAGTTAAATAGACTTTAGTATTCTTATGATGGCTCCCCTTGAGGGGAAGATATTAACACTTAGTTACATGATAGATCTCCCAACACAGGAATCTCCACTGTACTTCAGAGCCCAAACCAACCTTTGATGGATGGGACAATGGTCACTTTCAGGTTCTTTGATCTTTGTAGATTCCAGGTCTGGTTTTCATTTTCTGGTAAAAAAACAGAAAAACAAAAAACAAAAACAACCAAATAAACAAACAACAACAAAAAGCCAAAAACACAGCAACAATATACAAACAAGCAAGGCGTAGAGTGCAGTGGGTCAGATATTGGACTTTCATCCTCCAATCTGAACCCTTGTATCATACAATGTCCAGAATCCACTGTGACCAATGTACAAGATCTGGAGTAAAATCCAACATTTAACACATGAGGAGACCCTCTGGCTAAGACTCTCAGATTGGCCTTTGTGGGGTGTACTTTAGAAGTACCAATTGGCATAAATGGAATGCAACAGCAACCTTCCTTCTCCATTGGAGAAGACTTGACCTTTCTCCTGATGTCCACAAACTACTCAAGAAAAATGTGCCCCAAACAGACAGCTACAGTCTCTTTAGCTTGTATTTTTCCTAGCCAGTGAAAAAAAAATCTGTTTTTCTTTACACAGTCATAATGGCCCTAGAGTTTATCAAGGAACATTAGATACTGGCAAGATTATAGAGCTACATAATTAAGAGATTAAAGCACACACAAGCAGAAATGTCACCTGACACCAAGGGAGACATATTATACTCAACAGAAAACACCCTCTGTGTTGGTGGCATATGGCCCATTGTCAGGGGATCTGTGTTCTCAATTAAGGGTCTATTATACTCTCTGGGCAGTTCAACTATTGGCATATGCACAGGAGCTTATATAACCCCTCTTTATCAGGATAAGTCACATTTGGTTTTCTTAATGTTTTGTCAGGTACGATTTTGGCAACTGGGATGGTAAAACTTCAGATTTTCTTTGTACATCCTTGTGGAAGGGCTAACTGCTGACCCATATAAGTGGCTCCATATTAGGAAATGCACTTTTAATAATGTTTTTATTGAGTTTATTCTCTCTCTCTCTCTCTCTCTTTTTCTCGTGTGTGTGTGTGTGTGTGTGTGTGTGTGTGTGTGTGTGTGTGTGTGTGTGTGTAGGACAGCTTACTGGAGCTGTTTCTATCCTTCCTTCATAGAGTATCCAGGGATGGATGGAGAGTGGAGCTCAAGTCAGTTGGCTTGTTGGTAGCCATCTCACCAGCTCAGGAAACAGACCCTTTGGCATTTACATGGCAAAAGCAAATGAAATGCCAACTAATCAGACTCACTCTATATGGGCTGGTATAAGACTTAAAAAGTTGAAAAGCTGCACAAAATCAAGCCAATCAACATTCTAGGGTTGAAGGGAGAGGAGCTCACGAGTCTCCACTAACTGAGGCGCTATTGGCAGTTGATGGCTTCTGTAGGAGGGAAAGAGCCTTCTTTAGCAGTGTGGCCTCTGACAGATTGACCATACTCCAGTGGATGACCCCACACCCTGAATAGACAGTCATTACAAATTGGACTCTGGGTGCTCTGTAAAAAATTAACAATAAAGAGGATATGACGCTGGGAGGACGTGGAGATCGGTGGGTGGGTGGGTGGATCGGGAGTTAGAGGTAGACGAGGGGTTGAACATGATTAAAATGCATTGTATAAAATCCGCAAAGGATTTAAAATATTGTATCAGAAAGCTGAAGGCACTAAAGGACACTTTGTAGTATAAATATAGATGAATATAGGATTATCTTCATTTTACTTTTCAAGACAGGGTCTCTCTGTATAATAGCCCTAGCTGACCTGGAACTAGCTCCATAGATCAAGCTGACCTCAAACTCCCCTGCCTCTGGCCCCCGAGTGCTGGGATTAAAGGTGTGCATCACCGCCACCGGGCCTTCATTTTATTTTTTAGCCAAGTGTCTCTGAGTGTCTTGTTAAGTCAATGCTGCTAGGCCCCCAGGAAGAACTAGAGGTGAACTTTTGGCTTCCTTTCCTCCCCTCCCAAGTATTCCTCAGTGCCTCTTACCTTGGATGGAGAATGATCCTCCACACGCATAATCTTCAGGTTTTATCACAAACACCACGAAGAACTGCTTGTCTGGAAAATCCTTCTTCTGTGTAAGACATAACAACCTCATGATTTGCAGGGAAGAAAGATAGCCAGGAGGAGAAAGTCCATGGGGGTGGAGGACAGTAAGAGAAAGGAAGAAAAGGAAAGTTCACCCCTGTCATCTAAATCCTCAGAAAGGGGTTCCACAGTTCCACTGTCTACTGCAGAACAGCCTTGAACATTACTTTATCCAAGAAATTAGTATAAATAGGTACATGGAGAATTTCAAAGTCTGTGCCCACTTGAGGACTTAGTACTCAAATAAGCACAATAAGCCTAGACTTAACAAATAATATTGGTATAAAAAATGTACATATAAGCACACATATGTTGGAGATGGTCTTACTGTGTAACCCAGGTTGGCCCTGACCTCTTGATCCTCCTGCCTCAGCATCTTGAGTGCTGACATTATAGGCACATACCCAGCAATTTATCCATTTTATTTTAAAATCTAGTAAGAAATAACTTCTCTAAAATCATGCTGTAAAAGTTAAATAAACAATGCAGGTTGGAAAGATGAGGGAGCTGTGGCTCTGGGTTTGACTTCTGTACCCGCCCCTCTTTAGTCCTGGTTCAAACTGGGTTAACAAAATAACCATACATTACAGTTCTTTAACCCGGGCACTTTTTGTCATGCTCAAATTTCTGATATTGTGTATATAGTTCACTGAAGCACATGCTCAAAAGAGAAGTAGCAATTTACTGCCGGATACACAGAAAGTAGACATGGTAGGTATGGTTAGGCTTTGTCTTCCATTTACCCGGTATAATATTTTTTGTCAGCTTGACACAAACTAGGCTCATCTGGGAAGAGGGACTCTCAGCTGAGAAAATGCCTCCCTAAAATCGCCTGTAGGCAAGTCTGTGCAGCATTTTCTTCATCAATGATTGATGTGGGAGGGCCCAGCCCACTGCGGATGGTGCCCTGGGCAGGTGATCCTGGGTTGTATAAAAAAGCAAGCTGGATGAGCCATGGAAAGAAATCTAGTAACGTTCCTCCATGGCCTGATTCAGTTCCTGCCTCTGGGTTCTTGCCTGGAGTTCCTGCCTTTGCTTTCTTCCATGATGAACTATGATGTGGAAGTGTAAGTTAAATAAACCCTACCTTCCCCAAGTTGCATTTGGTTATGATGTTTTATACAGCACTAGAAAGCAAGTTAAAACACCTTGCTATTTTTGCGTATGAGTGTCCTTTTTAAATTGGGGGTCACATATTCTGGTGTGCTAAGGAAGAAGTAAACATGGACAGCAAGACATTTGTGGTATTAAATCTGTGATGTTCAAAATCAAGTTTGACTGATAGAAAATTTCTAGGTCTGATATCCAAATTACACTTAGCTTCTCTGTATTTTGTTTTGTTTATTAATCAACAAACAATGTTGTCTTATGCTACACAGCAAGTCACAGATTTCTTAAGTAGCAACCTAGAGACAGGGGTAGAATGTCTTTTGGAATATGATGACATAATATATGTACATTTTTGCTATAAAATACCAATGAAGTAACAGTTTAGTCACAGATACCAAAAAGGCAAAGTGCTGCCTGAATAAGGCTCATATGCCTTTGAATCTGTTGTTCTCTCCAGAGTTCAATTCAACTTCTGGTGAGTGTAACTGGTAGAAATTATTATAATATGTTAAACTGCTTTAAATTGCTGTCATAAGCTTTACCCTAAGTTGCCACACCTCACTGAAGAAATTAAAACCTCGTCTGGATTTATCCCTGTAAGCAATCTGTCAGATGTATGTCCTACTACACTGTAGATTCCCAAGAGCCCCCAGGTGGAAAGAAAGAATGCCTAGAAGGATAGCATTGCCCACCACCACCCAGGCACTGACTGCAGGCAGAGCACCATTCATTCTTAAACCCATCAGAAAGAAAAGAGATCCAAGGCGTACAATGGACAGCCATCTCCTTTGGATGCCAGTCCAGTGGATAAATGACTGCCTGTTGAACCCCACAGCTGTTGTGACTTCAGGGACAAAGTCTCACCTGTAGCGTGATGGCAGCTTTCTTGGTCATGGACTGATACACACCGTTGAATTCCACATTGTGGTCCAGATCATACACTGGACACTAAAGCACACAAGAGACAAAAAGAGAGAGTATCAGCACTGCCATGTGATGTCACTCCACACACACACACACACACACACACACACACACACACACACACACACGTGTCAGGGCTGCGCCAGGCTGGGGGATCTTCTAATCTACACACCATGGAAAGTTTTCTGCAAACAGTCATGAAATTGTCCTTTTAAAATGTGAACTTTGACCTAAAATGTCAGAATCAGTCTATCTAGAAAAGAACTATAGGAAGACTGCCTTAAAGTATATACTATTTTGTTGTTGTTGTTGTTACATCTTGGGATACAGAAAGAATCTAATGTTGTGACAACAATCTAAAAACAAAACAGGTAGTAGGCTTTCTCACTGAACTTACAACTGGGTTTGTTTTGTTTTGTTTTGTTTTGTTTGACATATTAACTAGTTTATTATAAGCCCAGCAGAGTAGGGAGACAACTGGGTTTTTTTGTTTTGTTTTGTTTTGTTTTTGTTTTATTCTTCGTCATGACCCCATCCCCCATCTTTTTTTGTGTCAGTGAGAATCTTCTTGTCTCTCATCAATGTCAGCAAACCAGGACTGTCCACTCTCAGGCATGAAATGTTGTTATTATTTGGCATTTGGGGGTGACACTGTACCCCACATCTATTATGGAACACTAGACTCTTACACGCTAGAAGGCTGACAGTTTCAGAGCTCACCATGATGTTCTGAACCGAGACAACTGAACACGGATAAGCCTTTTCAGACACCACTTTAATGATAACGGAGTCCACGTCTTCAGGAAATTCGTATAGAAAATACTGAGGATGAGAAAAAGAGAGATGTTATTAATCTTAGGAAATGCTTGGGGAAGTACAAATGAGGCATGGGGTTGTTTTCCCTCCCGTGATGTGTGGAGCAAAGCTCAGTGTATGGCCACTGTTTCATCCATTCATCACATACATGTTAAGCAACAAACTGTTCTGCACAGGGCTCTGTGCCTGACATGGGGAAGATAGCAGCGAAGGCGAGTGGCCATTTACACTAGGCTGTGTTTTCATTTAGGATACAGGCATTTCTTATTGACTGACTTAGACTGTGTCTCACTCCATTTCCTACTTAAGCACTCTGCTGTCATACTCTTCTGAAATCAGAGATACACAGGATGTAAGGCCAGACAACAGTTTTTTTCTGTGTGGTGGGTGGGAAATAGGAAGCTCTACCTTGAATAGCAGATACTCCTATTCCTCAAGAATGCTAACCATCTTGTCAGAGGGAAGAATTAGCTTTACACTAATTTTTCTTCTAAACCTTTTGGTAAAGAATCTCTTCCCTAACTGAGATATTCTGAGAAGCTATTTAAATCAAAAGACTAAGTTTGACATTGAAATATGTAAGTGAATATTTTGGGTAAATTTATTTTCCAAGCATCAGTAGTGTGTGTGTGTGTGTGTGTGTGTGTGTGTGTGTGTGTGTTACATGTGTGGGTGACTACACAGGCCAGAAGACGGTGTCCACTAAGATGGGAAGAAGGCAAGTGACAGGCATTTTTATTTTTGAGTCACCCAAGGTAGGTGCTGGAGACTACACTCTAGTCTTATAGGTGCCATGTGCACTGTTGACCTCTTAGCAGCCTTTCCTAACCCACAGGAAACATGACTAACAGAAAGAAGAGACACTATTTAACTCTTAAAACATTCTAAACACAGTTAAAAATGGGGTAAATGAGAACTTAGCCCAATAATTTCAAGTGTGGCAACCATATGAGAAACATCAAGTTTGTGATTAAGGCTTTGTGAAAACCCACCCTAATGAGACTGACATCTTATAGACCTACCTAGCAAACACATCATTTTAAAAAAAGAGGTAAAAAGTCAAAATTTAGTCTTGTATTCCAGTATCCCCTTTACTAGTGCTGTTTTGAGAACTAATTCCATAGGAATAGAACATCAGAATTAAGGAATGGCACTCACATTCCTGTTTAGAAGTTTTTCATGCCTTGTATGACAGCATTTTGGAGCATGATTCAAAAACATGAGACAGGGTTATTCCAAGGGAGGAGCCTAGAGGTCCCAGGGTGGCTCTCAGAACAGCCATACTTTATAACTCAAGAATATCACAGTAAGTAATGGAATATATTACTAGCCTTTTTTTGTAAGAAGGAAGTAGTTTGGAACACTTATTAATAATATGTCAAATTATTATCAGCCTAAATCACTACAAACCCCAAAGGAATGTTTTAGATCCCTGCCTTAAAATACATTTCATTCAGAAGGATTTTATTCGTATTTTATGTGTATGTTTTGCCTGCATCTATGTCTATGTACCCAGGAGTCAGAAGAAGGCATTGTATGCCCTAGAATTAGAGTTAAGATACAGGTATGAGTCACCATGTGGGTATCAGGAACCAAATCCAGGTCTTCCTTAAAAGTAGCAACTGTCCTTAATCATTGGACTACTTACCTAGCCCCCTAAATAAACTTTGAATTTAAATGGTCAATAACTATGAAGAAGAACAAACTGTGCCCTGTGGCCTTTCTTGCCATTGGACATCAGTATACAGGATGACTTTCACAGAAATAAAAATTAAATCTTAGCTTTTCTGAAGGCCAGAGATGTGGCTCAGCTGATAAAGTACTTGCTTAGCATGTACTAGGTCCAGAGTTCAATCCCCAGCATGACAAAACAGAAGTAGTTCATTTATACACATTTGGGAGTGCTGCTTTGTACACCTGTTCCCAACATGATCAATGACATCATGGCGGCCATTTGAAATTGGCCATGGTGGAGAAATTACGTCAGAGGAATGGGCATAAGCTACAAATCAAATTTTGCCCTCCACCCACTATTTACAAACACACCAGTGATTTTAATATAGTTACAAATGTCTATACTACTTAGTCACCAGTTTTACTATATTCAAAAAAAAACTAAGTAACCATTTATGAGCAAAATCATATTAAAGCCTTCAAAAAACATAGGATAACTATTGTGACATATAGATCAGTTTTTCTTTCTGTTTTGAGACTATGTTTCAGTATGTAGCCGAGGTCCAGCTTGGAACATGCTATGTAGCTCAGCCTGGCCTCTAACTCACATGTCTCTTGCCTTGGTTTTGGTGTTTAGAGTGGTAGGATGAAGAGGTGAACCACTACATAGGGCCAAAACCTATTTTGAACTTGTCACAGCATAGAGTCTTCTAGAAACCATTAAAAAAAAGTAGTTAGAAATGTCATCAGGAAAACAACCTAAAAAAATTAGTCTCATTCATCTATTCTCCTTGTGGTTATTTTTTATTGAGGAGCACATTAAAATAGCTAATTATTTTTACTGACAGGGGGCACGAATTCAATCTGCCAATATTACGGCAGGATTGGAAATCTGTCTTATTTTTATATTTTCAGAACAGCCATTTGCATATCTGTCTGCTGTCAGCCTTCCACTCTCTGCCTTCCTGCCCCATCTCAGTCATCAGAGTCTTTGCTTATCTCCTTCCTCTTCCCACAGCACCCAGTACTGTCTAACATCCCTTGGGAAATGTCAGACGCGTGACTTTACTTGATGAAGTATGTTCCAAGGAACACTGGAAATAATATCCCAATAAAGGTGGTGATATTAAATGTGCTCAAGACCTCAGAAACAGCCAAGAATACAGAGGGTAAGATCAAGAGTAATGACACACCCCGACTTCACTCTTGATGCTCCCCAGTTTCCATGTGCAACAAGAGCAGCTGGGCTCTCGATAACCACTGGGAATCTTCGCTTGCTTACCTGAGGCTGAGATGGGCTGGCAGTGAAGTGAAAGGCAACATTTGTCCTGAGAAATGTAAGAGGGAAAAGCGAGAAAAAAAATAATGAGTTGGCAAGCAAGAACTAGGTACTTACAGGAAAGCCACTTAAACTAGGTGTCCAGAGCCTTGCCCTTTTTGGAGGGCATTCAGTCCTGCAATTTGATAAACTTCATGGAGACTCTGTGCTTTCAACAATAAAGAATGATGAAGTTGAGGAAGAAGATTGCTTTTACATCTTTAAACAGCCATGAGGTCATACCTGTATCAACACCTCATTTAGTTTTATGGTTGCTTTTGCCTTTGAACTCTCTTAAGATATTACAACCAAGTCACATAATCAATCAAGCTTGAGTATGAGGAGTAGGCAGCAAGAGAGGAAATGCAGGCTTGAGTCCTTTTGAATAATGTAGGTACCACTTCACAATAACATTAGTGCATCCACTGCAGAAGAACAGTGCTTTGAAAACGGGGTGAACAGATGGCCACTGTAGGACAATTGGTAGGAGTAGGAATATGCTCTTCTTGCCACCAACATCTCCCCAGTCTCCTGCAACACTTGCTGATTCTCCAGAATTTCATCCTCTGGCTTTAGGCTTTGTCTTCTAACGCTCGTCTTTAAAATAAAGGCATCACCCAATGAACCCAGTGAAGTTATTTGATCTCTAAATAGAAATTGACTGTGAATTAGTGTCTCATATACTAAGACAGCAAGTATCCAGGCACAGAGAAAGGGAGTGCTAGGATTATGTAAGAGGAAGGTTTTGTAGCATCCAGTGCTGTCTGGTGTGAACACCTGTGAAGCAGTTGAAGAGGCTGGAAAACACAAAGATGAATGTGTTTCCATAAGAGCTGGTCTTTTGCACATGCTCTTTGTGCCTCTGGCCTCACCATTAGTGTCGAAGATCACTCACTCAAGGCCACCACACTTCAGTTCCTAAAACTGATAAAATGGCCATGTGCATCCCTTCTTGCATAGCTAAGTCTGAACCTGAACTTCCTCACCTTCCTCACCTTCATTCCCTAGGCCTCTCTGAAGTTTCTTTCCACTCCCAATTTTCCATTTATAAAAAAAAAAATAAGATGGTTTAAAACTCAACCATTTCTTTAGAAGTGGCATGTCAAGACACTTGGGCAAGGTGCATATAATATGAGGTATTACTTAGAAGTCATAAAATTTGAGCACTGATTATAAAGGTAATGGTTGTCTGCGCTCACATAAATAGGTGCAATTTTTATATATTAACTTTTGGCATAAATTGTTACCTATGCGAGTGAGTGGTTCTGCAGGAGCGCAGTAGTAAACTTCTGACCTCAAGGCATCTAAAGATGCCGACATCACTATCAAATGAAGTAGTACATTCACTCTAGAACCCACAGCTAGAGTAAAGGCCAGCAGAGCTGTGCTGCTATATATGGCCTGAATCGTGCCGTGTGTGACCTGAGCCGTGCTGTGTATGGCCTGGCAGTGCCCTTTCAATGGGAAGTGTCACCTGCTGTTATTAGGGCAACATGGGGCCTTCAACACTCTTACGGTCAGGTCAGAAGAGTGACAAAAACGATTTTTGGAGGTTATGGCTCTTTCTAGGTTAGCACAGAAAGCATGTGATTTCCTGAAGCAATCTGTGTACTTTGACCAGAAAGTTGATTTTTTGTTTGTTTTTGAAACAGTGTTTCTCTGTGTAGCCCTGGCTGTCTTGAAACTTGCTCTGTAGACCAGGTTGGTCTAGAACTTACAGAGATCAGCTTGCCTCTGCCTCCTGAGTGCTGGGATTAAAGGTGTGTGTCATCATGACCACCTGGCCAGACACTGATATTTATAAAATGTCTCTCATGATTTGAATTCCAGTTGGATCAACTTTGTAAGGTTTTTTGTTTTCACTTGTTTGGGTTTCTTGGATTTTATTGTCTTTAAAACAGTAACATTTCCTGGGCAGTGGTGGCACAGACCTTTAGTATCAGTGCTTAGGAGGTAGAGGCAGGAGGATCTCTGCGAGTTCAAGGCCAGAGTGGTCTACAGAATGAGTTCCAGGACAAAACACAGTAATATTTAAGCCTTTTGGCTTTTGTGGAGCTAACAGTAGCTACAAAATAAACAGTATGTCAGTGGGGGATGAAACAGTATCTTCTGACTTGGCCCTGATTGAAGCATGCAAGGTACGCTTTATCAAACATTTTCTTCACCAGTCAACAGCACAAAGCTAACTGAAACTCACAGGCACCTTTAGTGTTTGTTACAGAAAGAAGCATCAAAGTTTCAATTTGTTTGTTTCAAAAATGAAACACAGGAAACAAATGCTTATGCAAGAGACTAAAATCCAACTTCGTTCTCCTGCTTTGGCTATGAAAGGAAGCAGGAAGGGAAAAGAAATAGACACGTGAGAGTCAAGAGAGGAGACACAGATAAGGAAGATGGGGAAAAGAAGGGGCAGAAACACACACACTCACACACACACACACACACACACACACACACACACACAAACAGAGAGAGAGAGAGAGAGAGAGAGAGAGAGAGAGAGAGAGAGACAGAGACAGAGACAGAGAGACAGAGACAGAGAGACAGAGACAGAGACACACAGAGAGAGGGAGACCGAGACACACAGAGAAAGAGAGAGAGAGACAGAGAGAGATAGAGAGAGACAGAGACACAGAATATTTACAAGAGAGTAATAAAAAAGGAAGAAAAGATGAGAGGATGGAGAGACAGAGACAAACGTTCAGTAGTTTTGAGTGAAGGACCGTAAGAGTCACAGGACTGGATGTCTCGTAACAGTGAGCTCTTGGCATGGCACAGTGGGTGTCCCAAATTCCACTTTGTTTGTTGAAGGAAATGATGTTGTATTATTACTCAGCACCATGTCACTCCCTGTTGTCTGCTGGTTGCCATCTGTTGTGAGCTGACCCCAGCCCTCCTGTTATCTCTCACCCTCCAGGCTTCAATCTTCTGGTGTGTGCAATCTGTCCCCAAGCACTCGTACCCCACTCTTTCTTCCTTTCCCTGGGACTTTGTGTCTACAAATGTCAACTCTCTTATGAATCTACTTTGCCTTCCTGCACCTTCACTTACAAATAGGCTCCTGTCTCATTTATTTTAAAATAAGTGACAGGCCAATCCAACCAAGTTCTTCCCTTACTTTCCTCCTTCTCTCCTCCTGCCCCCGCCCCGTGTGTGTGTGTGTGTGTGTGTGTGTGTGTGTGTGTGTGTGTGTGTGTGTGTGTGTACCCATGCCTGTGGGAGACCAGAGGTCAGTCAGTTTTGAGTGTGTTTCTCTATTGCTATCCACCTCATTTTTTAAACCTTTTATTTTATTCTTTAAAATTTTTGTAGATGTGTACAATATATGTTAAACATCTGCCCCTCACTCTCTCTCTCTTCATCCCCCGTCTCCTTGCCCAAAATCTCCCTTCCAGTTTAAAGTCTTCTTTTTAGAAAAATAGCCCACCAAGTGAAATCAGTAATGCCTGCAAGCACATGGCTGTGCAGTTATCCACCTGGGCATAGCTAACCTGGTAGTGGCCACCCCTTGAAGAGAAGTGACTTTTCCTACTGTAGCAGCCATTAACAGCTCCTTAGCAAAGGGTGGGGCCTCAGGTTCCACTTCTGCCTCTGTGTTGGGATTTTTAAAAGATTCATGGTAATTTTAATTTATGTGTGTATGTGTTTATGTGGGTGTGTGCCATATGTGTGGGTGCCTCGTGAGGCCAGAAGAGGGTGTGGGAGTCACTGGAATCAAGTTACAGGTGGTTGTAAGCCATCACGTTGGGGCTGGGAACCACACTCTGGCCCTCTGGAAGAGCAGTAAGCACTCTTAGGTGCTGTGGCAGTTTGAATGCAATTGGCCCCAAAACACTCACAAGGAGTGGCACTATTAGGGGGTGTAGCTTCATTGGAGTGGGCATGACCTTGTTGGAGGAAGTCTGTCACGGCAGGGGCAGGCTTCGAGGTTGCCTATGCTCAAGATACCACCCAGTGTCTCAGACCACTGTCTGTTGCCTTTAAGGGTAGGACTCTCAGCTACTCCTCCAGCACCACATCTGCCTGCATGCCTCCAAGTTCCCTGTCATGAGGACAATGGACTGAACCTCTGAAGCTGTAAGCAAGCCCCCCCCCCCCCCCCCCCCCCCCCCCGACGCCCTGATTAAATGTTTCCTTTATAAGAGTTGTTGTAGTCAAGGTGTCTCCTCACAGCTATAGAAACCTTCAAACAGGCACTGAGCTGTTTCTCCAGCCTAGCCATGCTGGAATGCAGAGAACCATGCTGGCGAAATGCATTAGGGTTGTCTTAAAGAAGTATCAAAATTTCTTTTGGATGTATGTGGTTTTTGAAATGGAGTCTGATGTAGTCAGAACTGGCCTCAAACTTTCTATGTAGCTGAGAATAACCTTGAACTTCTGATCCTCCTGTGCCTCCACTTGCCAAGTGATGTGATTCCACACAGTTTGTGCAGTGCTGGGTGGTTAGCTCCGGGCTTCATACATCTAGGTAAGTGCCCTACTATAACATCCTGAGGCACTGAAATTACAAAGAAACATTTCAGGTTGTGACCTAAAAACCTGCAAGGAACATAAAGGTAGTCAAAGTGGGACTGGGACAAGGTGATAAGAATGAATGACCACAGGACAGGCAAGATAGGGAGAACAGGGAGCATGCATGGAGATACTGGGAAGAATTTGTTTGACACAGGGTCTTATGTAGTCAAGGATGGTCTCAAACTTGCTGCATAGCTAAGGGCGACCTTCAATTTCTGATCCTCCTGTCTTTATTTCCCAAGTGCTAGAATTACAGGCATGTAGCACCATGATAAGAAAACTTTTGATCACACCCAAACATGTAGGATGATGATGATGATGATGATGATGATGATGATGATGATAATGAGATAAGATCACTAAATCCCACAAGGTGCTTCAAAGTCATTTTCCCCATCGGCACTGGTTGTCATTCTTTCCTACTCAGAGTCTTTCATCACCCTTGATCAGTTCCTGTTGGCTATCCCTCATCTTCATTGCCAGCAGGTCCCAGTCCTTCGCAGAGCCATGTGCAGATGACCCCTTCCCCTGCCCAGTGTCCACTCTCTTCGGGGAGCTGTTCTCTGTTCCTCCTCTGACTCACGGCTCTTCATCTCTGTTAGCTTGCCCAGTTTTCTTGCAGTGTTCTCTAGAATTCCAGTAGAGAATTTTCCTTTGTTTTATCTGGGTCAACTCCTTAATGGCCTACAGGCCATCTTTCAGCTTTCTAGTCATAGAAGAAGATCCCTGCTGTCCACTCTTTATTTTGGCTTTTCACCAGGAGTTTGTCAAAGACACCCTGGTGTTTAGAGAACATCACAGCCTGAGCAATAGGAAGAGGAGGAACACAGGCTGGATAACTGTACCTCCTGTCACTATAATTCTACCCAAAGTCATAGACATGTGATGGACAGCTGGGGAGAGGTTGTGGAGAAGTGTGTTCTGGTACCAAACCACACATCTCTGCTGAAGACTGTTTCCTATCTGTTTTCCCTCAGTTATCTTGAGGCTCTATTGATGTAGGGAATAGATTAGCAGCCTGGGACTCACTTGGTTTGGGCTATGCACTCACCCCTCTCCTAATAATGCACCCAGCAGTCTTTTAGATTAAGACCCCCTTCCTGCATTGAGCTGGGTGCACACTCTCCTCCAAATAAAAGAATATGTTTCTCTTCCCCTTAATGATCATAAAGAAGGGACAGTTTCTATTTAATCTTACTCTAGATATCTCTGAGTATGAACATTGGGGTGTCCAATCAGGCCTAAATTACTTTTGGGTGCCCACACAATAATCAGACTGATGGGGAAATGTACTACTGTGTATGTTTATCTTATTGATTGTTAAATAAAATACTGTTTGGCAAATGAGATAGCAAGTTAGATGGAACTAGGAGTCAAAGAGGATTCTGGGAAATGTAGTAGAGAAGTGCTGATCCAGGCAGGAATGACATAACAAGGAGACTCATATTTAAGCAAAGGAGAACCAGGAAGGATCCCTTTTTCCCGTTCGCCTTCTCCAGCGGCAGGATGTGAGCCACTGGCAAGGAGGGATGCCAATAAGGTGTCAGATAAGAAATGTCTTATAAAATATATAGATTTATGAGAATTTAGGCAAACCTAAAAGATGAGGAATCCTAGTCATTGGCCAAGCAGCTTTGAACCTAATACAAGTTTCTGTGTATTTACTTGGGCCTACTCAGGCAGGCAGCTAGCGTAAAGCTCACACGTGGCTGTGGGGCTCAGCGGCTTTTGGCAGAAAGTTTATCATAACAGCAGACTGTGTCTTTTGAGTGAAGATTTGGAGTGAATCCCCTGCTTACCGTCTTAGGTCTGTGCATAGTTGGGATGGTGTGATTGAGATCTGATGCATCATGAGAAAGGACATGCATAATGACCAAAGGCTTACATAATCTACGACTGTCAATCAAAATGGAGCCACCTGTGATATGCTCTTATCAACCAAATTCCTCCTTCTCTTGACCCTCATAAAAGGAAGTCCCATCAGGGTCTCACATGGTCTGTGACTTCTGACCCCATATTTCTGATCTGTACTACTTGTTTGCTTTGATTAGTTTTTTGTTGTTGTTGTTGTTGTTCTAATCTGAAATCTGTGTGCCTTTATTTCAATTCCTTGGAAACACCCAGCCCAGACTCCAATCACTGGTAATGTCTAAATGCCAGCTGGCAGTCATCCTGAGGTTTTCTGCTCCAACTGCCATGGAGTATCTCCCCTTAATATACCAAGCACAGGCAAAGCCCGTGGGAACAGATCGGCTCGTAGCTTTGCCATACTTCAAGGAAACTGCCTCTACACTGGACCATTGGACCTCAGTGTCGAGAACCCAATAACTACATGGGAGTTCGTGGTGAGGATACACCTTGTTGGTAATCCTGATGTCTGACATTCCCCATAAAGCAAAAGATGTAGGATGTAGCTAAAGTTCAAAAACTCTCATTCTAGCAAAGTTCCATTAATTAGTACATTTCAAGTGCTTTCTAACCCAGGGAGAGAGGGGGAAACGAGCAACTGTGAATCCCCATGACCAGGTTCTCTGTGAAGTAGCTCCTGCTTGAGCCTGGCCACGCAGCCACAACCATTCAATCTTCAATCCTCTAACAAAGTGCAATGTCATTCTCAAGCCTCCCATTCCTCCTTTCCTTCATATTCACCTGTCACATTCTTCAAGACACCTTCTCACTTTTTACCTTGACCATCTCTTAACTTCTCCGCAACCAATACCGTCTCCTTCAATCCATTCCTCACACAACTACCAGCGCAATGTAGACAACTGTGTTCTCAATGCCTCCTGATGTTACTCCTGCCCCACTATCGGTGGCTGCCTGTTCCTACAACACCCCCCTTCCACCCCTGCCAACTATGACCTCTAATGAGACAGAATGGCCCATTGCTGTTGGGAGCTGCTGGGAAGATGGGAGCATGTGCGTAAGATGGGTGGAATGCTTATAGGCAGAACCGTCTTATTTTAAAATATGAATTTGAATAAATGAATGCTTTGTGCAATTGAGAAGCATATTTAGGGAGACACAAATGTGTTATGAGGAGAAGATCTTAGAAGAGGAAGCCAAGAGCAGAATCCAGACTTGACTTTGCCTTTTCTGTCTTTGTGAGTTTGGACATGGACTTAGCATCTCTGGACCTCAGAGTTGGGTGTGGTGATGCATACCTCTTGTCACAGCTTCTTAGAAGGCAGAGGTATGAGGATGGCTTGAGCCTAAAAGTTCAAGGCCAGTCTGGCAACAGAGGCAGACCCCAGTCTCAAAGAAACAATGAAAGAACAGAGGAAACCTCTGGACACCAGTGAAATGTGTACTCTATGCATTCTAGGCTGTCATCCTGAACTGTACAGCAGAAACTGCAATGTCAGGGTTTATTCTCCAGAGTTGGAGCCTGGTTCTTACCACAGCCCTCATCTGGACTCCATGACCACCATCCTCTGGAAATCTGGCTCACCAGTAAAGTTAGATAATTGAGAAAGGAAGAAAACACACATAGGCCTGCTACCACCTCTTCTCAGGCCTATCTTTGTCTCGTGCAAGCTTCTCATAACTCTGTGTTTCATAATGTTCGCAAGGTCTGTTTGATGACACGAAGTCATATTTCACAAAACCAGAAAACAACTCAACAGAATAGATTTGCAAGTCACTCATTAACACTTGCAAAGAGCTGTGACCCAGTGACTTCAGTTTCACAGTGTTCCTTTCCTGGGGGTGGAATTACCTCACTGAATACCAGCCCTGCAATTCACAAAGGTCCCCTCCAGGTGACAGTAACAGATCAAAGGTACCACTGGCAAAGGCAGGGCTTCCCTGAAGGCTCAAGTTGAGCTTTCTGTTGAAGCCATGCCCAAATCATCTGCAAAGATGGCCGCCGAGCTGAGCATCCACAGGCATAACAGAGCAGAAAGCAACGAGCCAGTGCGTCTACTTACCGGAGCTGGAAGTGTTTGATTTTGGTGACCAGCAACTTGTAGTGGGCACCGTGAGGAGCCATGGATGCTACATCTACAAAGATCAGTTGCTGCAGAGGGCCAGTCTCATTGGTTGCTTTTGATGGACAAAGAGTGCGGCTGACTTCCTGGTAGTTGTAGCTCCGCTGGTATCTGCAGGGGTGGGCGGGACAACATCAGCAAGAAGGAGGAGACACAGTGAACAAGACCAAGGGGTAATGCTGCCTCACTCTACTCCTCTCTAATCTGGCTCCAAGTCTAATTTCAGGCTGGATCTACTGCTATCAAACCGAGGGCACGTGTTGTTGGCATCTGTTGGATGACAGGGACATAGGGACTGTTATGTCCTGATCCGTTCACTTAGCAGTGCTTACATTGCATTAAGCCAGACTCCCAATCATTCAAGGAAAAACACCAATATTTGAGGGAGGAACTCTTATTAAACCAGCAGGGGAGTCTTTTTCCTCCTTCAGTTTCACTGATTTCAAGTTAAAACTATCAGAATTAGTATTTAACCCTCAAATTCCTGAACCTTTAAAAACCATGTAATAACACCTGGGTAGGTGCCCATTTCTCTATGCCTTCTGGGCTTTGTATTGGTGCCACTGTGCCTTACTGAGCTCTCCTCGGCAAAACATGGACTCTGCCAGGACAGGGACTTCTGTTGTTCGTCATAGTGTCTTCCCAAACCTCCCACTTAGCACTGCTCTGAAAGCACTACTTAGTAAAGCGTGCACGTAGAAGAGGCATTTTGAAGAGTGGGGTTGGTGCTGCTGATATGTTGCTTCCTGGGCCCAACCCACTGAATGGCTATGGGATGATCCATTTTGCAAAATGGGGAATTGAATACTTCAGTAAATTATTAAATGGTGTAAGTTCTCCCAGGTGTTGAAAATCTAGGTGGAAGGCTTGTCTGAAATTCAAAGAGAATGGAAATGTATAGTGCCAAGCAGCCTGGGGTGTGCATCATTTGCATTTGGCATTCACTACCCTGGCATTCAGATGTCTGAGTTCTCTTCTGGCTAAGACAAAAACAAAACAAATGATGATGATGATGATGATGATGATAAAACCCAATCGAAGTCTAAGCACATTGAAGAATGTCAAATGCAATGAAGTTGCTGGGCAGAGAATACTTACAGTCCTTGGAAGAGCAGAGGGACCTGCCAGGACAACACTTCTTTCTGTTGCCGAACCACAACAAGGACTGGGTAGTCCAGGTTTTCAGAGGAACTGTTCACGTGGACCCGCACAGCTGTCACCTGTGAGGCGGGTGAACACAAGCTCACTCACTCCTGACATTTCCTCTCATGACAGGTAACCCCAATGCCCCAGCTGTCCTTTATTATTCATGTGACATCCAGAGTGGGTCTCAACCTTGACCACATGTTCAAGTTGCCCCAGGAAATTTATAATAATTGGTGCCTGGATACATTTTGCTTAAAATTCTGATTCAATTATTCTTGGATGAATAATTCTTGCCTTCAAATAACAAGCTTGGGAGTTGGGGCAGAGCAGCCAACATAAGGCTTCAAGAATAAATAACTACAGGAGAGAAAAGCAAAGACTTCAATGTACTCTTTTCTTACTTGACTATAAATACAAATAATATAAAAATCTCTAACATTCCCCAAACTACCTCACAGTCTACAAGACCCCCAACTGCTGACAAACTTTGGGTATAGTAAATCATTCTGTTTCAATTCCTTAAACAAGCAAACAAAAACAGCCTAAGAGTTGGTCTGTTGCTCCCTCTCCAACTGCAGCAAGTCCTGCCAGGGCTGAGTCCTCTTGCTCCAGGGAAAATAACAAATAAGTTCTACACCAGCAGCAGGCCACTCTGCTTGAGAGCACACAGCGGATAGAGCAAGTCTCCATCCTGAATGACGATGGGAAGCTAAGTCTGCTTCTGGGTTTTGGTGTTTTCCAGAAAACTTTATAGTACCATATGAAATACAGAAGATGATAAGCAAAAATACAGAAGAGTAAAAGAAAAACTAAAACTTCATCTTCTACATGACATTTTTATGTGCAGATCTTTTGCCTTTATATTCTCTTGAAAGTTTCTTTATTAAGGGACCAGTCAAATGGCTTGGCAGGTAGTTCAGTAGTTAGAGCATCTCTAGACTCCAAGTAAAACTCTGGGTGGACCAATTCTCCTTGCAATTTCAGCCTCAGGTGATGGAGACAGGAGACCCCTGGGGAAGGCTGACAAGAGAGATGAGCTGTATGAGCTTTTGATTTGACGCTGCCATGCTGCCTCAGGGAATAAGGTGGGTGAGATATTAAGGATGCTTCTCATCCACAACCTCCAGGCCTCCAGATACACACATGCACACACACACACACACACACACACACACACACACACAGGAAAAACAAAAAATAAAAGAAGCAAGTGCCGAGTTGAACCTTGAAGACCTACCACACATTCCAAGTGCAGGCCAAGAGGAAACAGACTAGCCTATGTGTTGTAATCAGGCTTTAGTTCTCTGAATTCTCCATGACCAAGCTACTGCTTCACATTTTTAATGTTAGCTCGGGCAAAGAGTAATTTATTAATTTGATAAGAAGTACTTGTTCCCTGTAGGAGCATTTCCTGTACCTACAGTGTGTTTCCATGGAAATTGTGTTGCAGTTGATAGTTGCTCAAACTGTACCTCTAATGCAGACCTCTTTGTTAAATTCTGGGACTTCCACAGGCCTCTTAAACTCAATGTGGCTACATGGAATCTCCCATTCCTTTCTTTTCTGACTGTAATGCTATTTTTTAAATGAACAGTTCCATCATGCAGCTTTTCATCTAAGCCTGAAAGCCAAGGGTTCTGCTTGGTCCCTACTTTTGCCACTTCTAAGTTCTTCACACTGTTCTTATCCAGCCCTCCCTTCCTGTCAATGCTAAGCTCAGCCCTCCATGCCCTCTTTTTTTTTTTTTTTTTTTTTTTGGTTTTTCAAGACAGGGTTTCTCTGTGTAGCTTTGGAACCTGTCCTGGAAATAGCTCTTGTAAATCAGGCTGGTCTTGAGCTCACAGAGATCTTCCTGCCTCTGTCTCCCAAGTGCTGGGATTAAAGGCCTGCACCACCACTGCCCTGCCCTTCATGCCCTCTTGATGGCCACTTTTCTCTATTGATTTGAGTCCCCTAATACTCTTCTTGATCTTGGCTGCCTCCCTTCCGATGTCAGTTTCATCTGTCACTCTCCATGTCAAAGACCTTCAAAGGCTCTGAAAATTTTTCAGTTCTATGCCAAAGTAACAAAAAACTATAATAAATAGTTACAGATCATTCAACTTTGATAGCTATTAACAAATATATTTTATTCATACTTTCCATTTCCACACACACCTTCACTGTATTCTGAAACACACACAAAAGCATATTACTTATTTAGCCATCAAATAGCTTAATGAGTATCTCTAATAGAGGGAGATCCTTAACAAAATCCATAAACAAGGGCAAGAGAGATGGCTAAGCAGTTAAGAGCACTTGATGCTCTTGTAGAGGACCCATGTTTGGTTCCCAGCACCCAAATGGTAGCTCACAACTGTCTGTAACTCCTCTTTTGGGGATCCAATGCCCTCTTCTGGCCTCCTAGGGTACCAGGCATGCACATGATATACAAACGTGTAGACAAACATATATACACATATGATTAGAAATGAATAAATCTTAAAAACATGAACAGTATGATCTCATTACCATTGTAATTCTTTTAATTTATCTGATATTTACATGGTGAGTGTAGCTTTTCAGTTGTTTCAGAAATTGCTTTTTCTCAGTGTTCTTTTTTTTTAAACTGGGTGCAAATTCAATCCATAAAATGTATCTGGATCATTTTATTTGATACCAATACTTGGTTCTTCTTTATTGTTGAATAATATTCCATTGTATGAATATACAACATTTTATTTACTTATTCTTTAGTTGATTATTTATGTTTCTTTCACATTTGGGGTATTTACAAACAATGCTGCCATGAATATTTGTGTAGCAAATTTGTGTGAATATATGTTTTCAATGATTCTTGGTATATACTGTGACTGGATTTCTGGGAGACATAGTAACTCTATGTTCAATTTTTTGAAGAACTGCCAAAATGTTTTCCAGAGTTGTATCATTTTTACACTCCAGTAATTTACATTTCCAGCAACACTCCTCATTTTTTTGCTTTTCTGTCAAGACTTGCTACTGCCTAACCTTATTACAGCCACCCTAGTGGGTAAAAAGCAACATGTTATTGTAGACTGTATTTTATTTTTGTTTCTTTGTTTCTGCTTTGATTTGGAGATAGGATTTCTCAAGTAGTTCAAGCTGGACTTGAATCCAAGATCTTCCTGCCTCATTTTTCCAAGAGCTGGCTGGGGTAACAGGTACGCGCCCTCATGCCTACCTGTTATTTTATAGCTGTTTGGCTCTTCTAGGAAGTTGCCAACATTGTTTTCAGAACCCCCAGAGCCTGACAGAATAAGTTACCTTAAAAGAAGGTTGACTTTGGCAATTGTCACGCAAACGTCCCACTACCAGGAAGCATGTGTTTTTACAGCATGGTTTACTTAGAGCAGCCAGAACTCAGGCAAACTGGAATGGGCAAGCTGCTTCTTCCCTTCATTCACTTAGATGCAACCTCCTTCTTAGGTACTTGATGTCAGAGGGAGTTGCTCACCATTTTTTTCACACTTCATATAAGGCAGCAATTCTAGCCTCCCCTCAACTGTGGGAGGTTTCTGATTCAGATGGTGAAGAGCAAGCCTAAAACTATACATTTCTAACACATACTGGTGGGTGGGTGGTTAGAGTACTTGTTTTGGGGACTACACTTTGGAAGCACTATTCTGAAGCCATCTGCCGATCTACTGCATGATCCTATGTGTTACTGTGAGATGCCCGACTGTGAGCTCGGCATTGTGACAGCAGCCTGGACGTTGTTATTGTTGGGACTGGAATGGGACATCACAACAGATACATTATGGCTGAATTAAGCCCCTGCACTGCTCATCCATCCCCACGTCCTGATCTAGCTTTAATAATCTACTTACCTTTTCTAAATTATTCACTTATGATCTCACCAGCCATGATAAAAACAAACTCAGAGATACTGACATAGTAAATTACCCAAAGGATACCAGAGTAGGAGCTGTACAACACTGGGTGGTTTTGCAAGATGAACAGATAACATGTTACCCAGAGGAAAGGATCAAGAGCCTTGCTCAAAATCCACTCTGCCTTTTCAAAAGCTAATGAGCAGATGAGAAAATTGGATTATGCCTGCCACAGTGAAGTAGGCTGTGTGAAGAGAGAGCCTAGCAAAGGTGGACACTGGCCATGCTGAATGGACTGTGACACCTTGGGATAGACCGTTCTCAAAGCCTACGATTTTTCTCCTTTTGCTCCTACTTGTTTCCATGACAAAAAGAGTACTTTTTCATCACACAGATCATCTTTCTTCCTGTATTTACTACAAGAGGGAAATCACATTATAGACAGTAGAGAATTATGCAAGCATTTCTGCCTCTGGTAGTACACAGATCATGTTTATGACAGCTCTGAAAGCTTGGAGGCCCCCTTTTTAATCTTTTATGTCATCAGGGAAAAGTTGAAATTGGAAGTGGTGTACTTTTCTTGCACATAAAGGATAAAAACAAGTGTAACTCAAAGTTGACTTTGTTTCTGCTAAAGTAATGAGACTGCAGCTCTGTTCAATGAAACCTCAGATTCAGACACAGGCTGTTGGCTTCCATCATTGAACATACCAGGGTACACCCCTCTGATCTTGAAAAACAGATTGGACTTGTAAAACAGCCACAGGGTGTTTGTGGGTAACTGCTTTGCTAACTCTGTTGTGTTTATGCTGTTTATCTACTGGTGTTTAGCTACTCCCACCCTCCTTCTTCCCCTTTCCACCCATGCTCCCAATAGTCACTGAGCATAGACCCTGGCTCAGGAGCCCCAGAAGGGGCTAGGGAGAATATATATAATGCTGGCTTGTCAGAGTGTGGTAATGAGCTTTGGGCTCACACAATACCTACCCTCTGGGTAAGTTAATGAAGACTAGATCAGGCTCGTTACCTTTGAATTAATGAAGTTGGCTCTTCCACACAAGCTCTCCTATTGTCTGATTGGTACATATAATTTTGATCTACAGTATTAGAAAACAGCTGTCTGGGCAGGTGGCTCGGAGATCATCTATCCAACTCTTTCACTTACAGATGAGAAGCCCAAGACACAGAAGTGATGTGACTTTACCAAAGACACTCAGTTGCTA